CAATGATAATGCGGGAAGTCACGGCGAAACAACCTCCCTCGTAATCTTATGTTCCTTTGATGTACATTCATTCACACTATCCGCACCTTACTGAAAGGCACTCGGCCCGAAAGCATGTCGACAATGAGGATGCGTTATTGAGGCGCCTCAGAACACGTTCAATTCACCCAAGCATTCGTACAATCCCCAAACGCACCTTATTAAACGGCACTCGGTCGGAGAGCATGTCAACGATGAGGATGCGGGAGGCCACGGCGATGCACCCTCCCTTGTGACCTTCTGTTCCTTCAATCTACATTCATTCATACCTTATTGAAGGGCACTCGGTCCGAGAGCATATCGACAATGAGAATGCGGGAGGTCACAGCGAAGCACCCTCCCTCTCGATACGCCGCCACCCTGTCAGCACTAGGCATGCTGCTGTTCACCTCCGCCAGCACACACGGGAGTGCAGTGCGGTGCAGCGCGGTCAACGGCGCCGCTTCTGCATCCGGTCCATCGGATGCCACTGCTGGTGACGCCACTGTGTCTTTCCGTCTCCCTGCCGAAAGCACTACAGCAGCAGCTTCTATGCTTGCTGGCGCTGCTGCTGCTGCTGCTGCTGCCGCCGCCGCTGCTTCGTCTGCTGATCCTGATCCTGATCCTGCTGCCACCGCATCGTCCCGGGAAGCAACAGCCTGGCTCGAGGGGAGTGGAGTGGCGCCCAGAGCGCTGTTCAGCGCCTCAAGCTCCTCTTGCACTGCCTGCCGTGGTCGGGTGTGTGGCGACGTGAGAATAGATCAGTTCTTCAAACGCCTATATACAGCGCATTGTGCACCCCCTCAAGGCCCCCATGCACGGCCTGCTGTAGATGGGTGTGGCGGAGAGGGTCTGGGGGGAGGTGGAGTGGGGGGAGGGAGGGGTGGGGAAGAGAGGAGGGGGGGGTTGGGGGGATGGTGGGTGGTGTAGGGGGAGAGGGGTTGTAGAGTGTGTGTGTGTGTGTGTGTGTGTGTGTGTGTGTGTGTGTGTGTGTGTGTGTGTGTGTGTGTGTGTGTGTGTGTGTGTGTTTAGGAGAAAGTTGAAGGGAAGACGAAGCAGGGGGGGGAGATTGAAGGGCATGGGAATGGGTTCAAGGAGATAGAGAATGGCGAGAGCCGAACAGGCGAATGAGATGGGGTGAGTAAAATATGGCAGGCTGAGGTATGGAAACCTTTAGCCATATAGGACAGAGCATTGAAACGGATGCGAAAGCGTCAACCAAGCAATAACAACATCCTGCGTCAAGTCCTGTCCGTACCTGCCTCTGCTCCTCTGCTAGCCCAATCACAAACATCAACCGCCCGTTATAACCACCCAAGCTGCTACTACCGCTACTGCCGCCACTGCTGCCGCCGCCGCCGCTGCTGCTCCCCCCGCCGCCGCTGCTGCCGATGATCCCGAGGCTGCGGGTGCAGGTGGCGTTGGTGATGTGGTGGTAGCGAAGGAGCAGCGCGAGCACCTTGTGGAGCCCCAGGCCCGCTCCCAACACCGCCAATCCGCCCTCCTCATGCAGCTGTGCGACCACTTCCTCGTGGAATGACAGCATCCTAGCGGCTGAATGAGAAAAATGAGACTGGTACAATCTATTCTACAAGCCTCTCAGCACAGCCCGCCTTCCTCGTGCAGCTGCGCCGTTATGGTGAAGAATGCCAGCGAGTTGAAGTCTGACTCGGACATATAAGGTGAATATGAGTCTGAATCGGGGAGAAACGGCGGATTCTCGGGTGTGAACAGATCAGGTGGATTCTAAGCCTGACTTAGGCAAGGCAAATGCTGCGTAAGGTGAGCGCGATTCAACCTAGAACCGTCTGTTGATTGGTCTAAACTCTTTAGACAAGATCGCGCAGCGTGATTTAGACCACCCGAGGTTTTCGACGTGGTCGCGTGCAATCTAGACAACCGCCAATATGAATATTGTAGGCCGTCACCATCACGCTCAAAAAAGAAAGCAAGGTCTCTGGGTGACCCGCAAAAAACGCGTCAAAAGCTTCTTGTATCAGCACAGGTTGCTTTTAACGCATCCAGTGGACACAAAACATAGTATGTTCAGATTTACCGCACTGAACTGAAATAAAGTGCGTTTTCAAGTTTGATTAAGGTGATATCAAGCATGAAGGGTCACAAGTACCGTATTATTACACACATTTGATAATTAAGGTATAGAAAATAATCTACAATAGCATGCCAATGTGGCAGTCCAGTTACTCTGGTTCTAGCCACAGCTGCTAATAGACTAGGATAGGATGTCTCATCTACATTTGTCTCAGCACAGTGCTCATCCTGCGGAGAACAACCCGGCTGCTAGAGCCTGTTATTCTCCGCCTCGCACCGAACCTCCCAATGCCAACAGAAATACCCGATGCTGCTAGTGACCTCCTCTCCTCCTCATCCTCCTCATCCATGTACAGTTGATTCATGTAGCACATATTCCCTGTCCCATAGGTTGTGAAGCCGCTTCTTCTGTTGTCATCTTCGTCCTCATCATCATCCCCAAAGAGCTGGTTTGAGAAAGTAACCCCTTCGTCCTCAGCCTTCCCAATCCCTTTCATCTCCCCATTCCAGCCCTTCCCAGTGCTGCTGAGGCCTCTGCCAATCCCCCTCTTCCCACTTGCTACCTCTGTTAACAAGTCCGCCTGTGTACTGCTGAAGCTATTAGAAGAGGAGGAGCAGGTATCCCAGGTGAGGTCGATGAGACAGGCACTCTCATTCCGATTCAAGCTGCAGCGCCTGCTGCTCGCCTCTGCATCCACCACCGCACCTTTCTGTGCCTTTGAACCCATGAGCACGTCCTTGTATGGCCCTGCAACCAGGAACGAAGAAGTCACCTCCTCTGGTTCCAGAACAGCCAACCACCACGCCTTTTCAACTGAGTAGATCGAGCTCTCAGTCGAACTGAACACTGCTTCAGCCGAGGAGCGAGGTGTAGCAGCCGAGAAAGGAGGAACGAGCTCAGTTGACAAGGCAGCGGTTTCAGCTGAGCACGCAGCAGTTTCGATCAGGTCAGCAAGAACCTCTACAGAGTCAGCAGGGACCTCCACAGAGTCAGCAGGGACCTCCACAGAGTCAGCAGGGACCTCCACAGAGTCAGCAGGGACCTCCACAGAGTCAGCAGGGACCTCCACAGAGTCAGCAGGAACCTCCACAGAGACAGCAGGAACCTCCACAGGGACAGCAGGGACCTCATTCTTGACAGCAGGAGACTCATCCACGACAAGAACAGCCTTTGCTGCAACTTGATTGCTTGAGCTGGCCCACTTGAAGTCGACCTGCAAAGATTCAAGTGAGCGAAGTTAGTTTTTGCTCAAGATATTAAGATAATTTGTGACAAGAAGGAGGCGTCGGCGTAATAATACACACAAAAACGGAAAGGAGAAGGTGGAAATTTGTTCTTACCAGGCGTGGAAGAGAGACTAGGCTGCAGACGAAGCGAGTCAGGGAGTCATCCTGCTCCCAGTGACTCGAGAAGAGCGCGTCGACGTCCATGCAGGCACTCGCAGCACCGACGCAGGCCATTTCGCCGACTGATGAAGTAGCGAAGACGGACTGTCTTTAGTGCTGAGTTCGAAGAATTGTCAGGGAGCACTCGAGCAGATTCAGAGAGCAGGTAACACGGCCTTAAGAGCAGAAAACGGTAGGATTCTGAAGGCTGATAATGATAACCGGATCAGAGCAGACTGGTGAATGAGGAATACAAACCCCTGCTTGCTTTATACTCGTTTCTCTGGTGCTGCCAGTGGCTGCTAGAATTCTCAGTAAGAGTGAAAATGTGGAGTGAGACTGAAACTGGGACGGGGACGCGACGAGAGTCACGGAGGGGGTTGGAGGCTCGGAATCGCCGAGGGTGGGAGGCTCGGAATTGCCTGGGGTGTGAGTCAACGATTGCCACTGCTGAGCAAATCCGCGTCGCCGCCTGTGGGGTCCGCGGCGATCGCTGCTCATGGCGACGTCGCCGGATGGCCACCCCTCAACTGTATGAGCGAGGGAGGGGGGCTCTCTGAATCGTGGTGCTCCCAAGGTCCGCCGCAATCGGGAGTACCGAGTGCGACTCGAGAAATTTCGAAGGCGGGAAAGAGATAGGTATGGGGAGGGGGCGAGACTTCAGGTAACAGGTTCGATAAGCCGAACCTACAGCCGAATCTACGCGCTAACCCAGCGGATTTCGGGATACCGGTAGTGGACATGTGGGATCGAGGTTCTGCAGCGGGACTTGTGGCTGAAGGTCTGTCTAGTACGGCTAAAATCAATGGCTGCAAGTGTTAGACTGAAACTTACACGCTTTGTTTCCATTCGAGTGACAACACTGTATAGATTAACGTATTTCTATTGACAACAATCTACCTACTGGTACATAAAACCAAGCGTGCAGCCCGAAGAAATTACTCACTAGCAACCTACCTGGTCCCGCAACGGGCAGTCCGCAAAGGTCTCTTTTTTGCGGCTTCAAGAAACTGCGCGGAAGCAGTCCCACCCGTGCAGCAGGCGATGTAAATGGGGCAATTAACGGCAAAAGGGGGGGCGTGGAAATCGGAGGTGGATGCAACGTGGGTGACGGCATTGGGAGTGGGGGAGGAACGAAAGAGGGAAGAGGAAAGAGGAGACGAGGGGGTGTGGCGGAAAGGGGAGGAGAAGGGGCAGATGGCGGAGAGGAGAACGTTGTAGGGGTCAAGGGAGTGAGAAGAGAACCAAGGAGGGAGACCGGAAGGGAGAAGTGGATGGGGAGCAAAGGGGAAGGAAGACCGAAGGGGGAAGGGGCAAGGGAGGGGGGAGGGGGAGCGGAGAGGGAAGGGGAATGGGCTGTGGGGTGGAGCAGAGGGCACGAGGGTGCACCTATTGTGCTGGCACTGCCTGTTGTGACTCTGCCACGTGGCAGAAGGGGATTGAGCCACGGAGACAGGTTGAGAGGTACCGTGGGGGTGAAGGGCGTGGAGTGTGTAAGGGGGATGGAGGGGAGAGAAGGAGAGCCTGTGATTGGTCGATGCACGATGGCAGGAGTGGGGAAGGTTACAGAGAGGGAGGAGAAGGAGGAGAGGGAGGCCGGGACGAAAGACAGGGGAGAAGAGAGGAGAGAGGACGGGAGGGAGAGAGGCGCCGCTGCTGTTATGAGAGGTGGAGAGGGAGGGGGGGAGGCGTACGAGTCAGCAGGGTGGTGTGCCACGTCATCAACGTCATCCGTGCTTGTGGGTGGAGACGAAGAGGAGTATGAAAGGGAGGAGTGTGAGGGTCGCGCAGAAGCAGAGGAGACGCGAGAGAGGGACTGCAACGGCCAGGTGGAGGGGGAGAGTGAGGACAGAGGGTACGGGTGTAAGGGGGGTAGTGCAGAGGAGAAGGGGCGGCGAGACCAGGGAGGGCAGGGAGGGTGGGACAGAGAGAAGAAAGGGAGAGCGGGTGGGGTTGTGGCTGGCAACGGCAGAAAGAGGAGGGGCAGAGGGATGGGGGAGAGGAGAGGGGGCAGAGCAGGGGGGGCCGGCGCAGCAGATGTAGGGATCAAGCAAGAAGGAGATGGTGTGGCTTCACAAGTGCAGGAGGGTGCAGTAGCAGCAGCGCAAGCAGGCCTTGTGATGGGGTCGCATGGTGTGGCAGCACAAGGGCAGGAGGGCGTGGGCGCAGAGGCAGCAGTGCAAGCAGGTGGAATGGCGGGGACTGATGGTTTGGCTTCACAAGCGCAGGAGGGCGAGGGCGCAGTGACAGCAGTGCAAGCAGGCGGAGTGACTGGGACTGATGGTGTGGCGGCGTCAACTGGGGCGTGGGTGCCGCCTGTTTCTCCCTTTGGCCTCATCCAGGTGGGCTGCTGTTGAGTGCGGTGCACTGTGGTGGGCTACGGTCTGCTGAGGTGTCACCCACACCTTTCCTATTGCTCATTCTGCACTCTTTCTCTACCCCCTCTCTTCTCCCTTGCTCCATTCTCCACCCCACCTCCCTCCACTCTCCCCCTTCCTCCCCCACTCAGGAGCGTCTGTATCGTGACCCGTGGAAACTGCTGGTTGCCTGCATGCTGCTAAACAAGACGGCTGGCAGGCAGGTGAGAGTCCGCAATGACATTGCTGAGTCTCGTTTGAGACGTCTCAAAGCTAGTTGCATGCATGCCCCTGAAAAAGACAGCTAGCAGGTATAGTTTAGATTTTGAGTAGCGGTGGTGTTCGTGACTTCATGAAACAAAGTCGATGTAGTATAGTGGTGAGTATCCTCGCCTGTCACGCGAGAGACCCGGGTTCGATCCCCGGCATCGGCGCTCCAGTTTTTTCTCTGCTATCTTTTGCAATGCTGCCACGGAGTGCAACACCACATTACTGCTGCAAAACTCTACCGGCCAAACCTCACTCTCCCTAAGCCCCCTCTCCCCCTCGCTTCCTCGTTTCCTTCATTCCCCCATGTCTCCCTGTTGCAACCCGCTTTCCTCTTTGCGTTGGACCTCTGATTCACCGATTCCGCCTCATCCACTCCACCAAAGCTACCATCGCGGAACTCACCCTCACGCCTCTACTCACCCTCACGCCTCAACTCACCCTCACGCCTCTACTTGCACTAGTCTCTTTTGATCCCTCGCTTCCCTCTCATGCCTCCCTGCTCCTCCCTCTGACCCTGCTCCACCGGTCCAGTTGGGACCTATTCCACCTCATCCCCTGCCTCAATCTGCCTTTGCTGCACCCACAGACCTTGTTGCACCAGTCTTTGTAAATCCCGCACTCCCCTACCCTCTCCCTCTCCTTTTCTTTCTCTGCTGCTCCCGCCTCCTCCCTGTCCCCGCAGCTCCGCCCAGTCATTTGGAACCTACTCCGCCGCATCCCCTCGACTAGTTCGACCATCGCTACACTCACGCCTCTCATTGCGCCAGTTCCTCTTGACCCCTCACCTTTCCCTCTCCCCTTCCTCTCTCTCCCTACACCTCCCCCACCCTCTTTCCTCTTCCCCGCCCCCATCCCCCTTCCCGCGAAACCCCCACTGCAGCTCCATAAAGTGATCTGAGACCTTTTCCGCCTCCTCCTTTCCTCTCATCCTACCGTCCTTCCCCCCCCCTCCCCCCCAACCCCACTGCAGCTCCATAAAGTGATTTGGGACCTCTTCCGCCTCATCCCCTCTTCACAGGCAGCCATAGCAGCACCGACGGCTGAGATTGCCCTCACTCCCCTTCTCCGCCCCCCACCCCCCGCAGCTTCATGGAGTGATCTGGGACCTATTCCGCCTCATCCCCTCGTCTAGTTCCACCATCGTTGCACCCACCATTGTTGATGACCCCTTCCCCCTCCCCTTCCCCCAACACCCCCCCACCCCCACCCCCCCCCCCCCCCCCCTCATCCCCACTGCAGCTCCATAAAGTGATATGGGACCTATTCCGCCTCATCCCCTCCCCAGAGGCAGCCATAGCAGCACCGACGGCTGAGATCGCGCGCACCATCCAGTCCCTGGGGCTGCACAACAAGCGCGCCGCCATGATCCAACGGTTCTCAGAGGAGTTCCTGAGGGGCGGTTGGACGGACGTGAGGCAGCTGCACGGCATTGGGAAGTACGTGCTTGGGGGAGGGGGGGGGGGGTGAAGTAGTGATTATGGCAGGGGACATGAGATGTGGAGCATGAGATGTTGGAGGTCTGAAGCTGTTTCTGCCTTTGTGTGCTCCCTGCTCTTTGTCGATTATTTCCCGGTCTCTCCTGTGCCTGCCTTTGCTCCACATCACTCTCACACACTCTCTCTCTCTCTTGCTCTCTCTCTTGCTCTCTCTCTCTCTCTCTCTCTCTCTCTCTCTCGCTCTCTCACTCTCTCACTCTCTCGCTCTCTCACTCTCTCGCTCTCTCGCTCTCTTGCTCTCTCGCTCTCTCGATCTCTCGCTCTCTCGCTCTCTTGCTCTCTTGCTCTCTTACACTCTCCGCTGCCTGCTTCATGCTGCCTGCTGCTGCCTGTTGCCTGCTGTGTGTTCTTCACCACGCCAGGTATGCAACGGACGCACATGCGATATTCTGTGAGGGCAGTTGGTGGGAGGAGAGGCCAACGACCACATGCCCTAACATCCCTCCCCTTCTGCCCCACCTCCTTCTCCCCTTCATCATGGCAGTTATGCAGCGGACGCCCATGCCATATTCTGTGAGGGCGGGTGGAGGGAGGTGCTTCCTAACAATCACAAGTCCTGTGCCTGTCTGTGCTCTCACGTCCCTCCCCCTCCATTCTTCACCACGGCAGGTGGAGGGAGGTGCTGCCTAACAATCACATGCTTTATAAGTCCTGTGCCTGTCTGTGCTCTCACATCACATCCCTCCCCCTCCATTCGTCACCACGGGCAGGTACGCAGCGGACGCGCATGCCATATTCTGTGAGGGCAGGTGGAGGGAGGTGAGGCCCAGCGACCACATGCTTAACAAGTACTGGGACTGGCTGAAGCGCACTGACGGGCTCGGATTGGCGTTCACAGAGACTTGATTCCTGGTGTTGAGAGGGAGGGGAGGTGCGGCCTAACGACCACATGCTGAACAAGTACTGGGACTGGCTGAAGCGCACAGACGGGCTCAGATTGGCACTCACCACTGACACTTGAGGGTTCGTTGGCTGGCGCTGCTGGCCTACTTGCATTGACTCATGCCTCACACAACACGATCACATGCTCAACAAGTACTGGGACTGGCTCAAACGCATCGACGGGCTCGGCCTTGCTTTCACAGAGACTCAAGAGAGTGAAGTAGCAGCAGTAACTCCAGGCTCCCGCTGCTGACACACGCCTCAGGACGGACGATCACATGCTCAGCAAGTTTTGGGACTGGCTCAGACGCACTGACGGGCTTGGATTGGCTTTCACAGAGACTTACGAGTGTAATACCAGTAGTACCTCCAGCTGCTGACGCGCGCCTCAAGAGGGACGATCACATGCTCAGCAAATACAGGGACTGGCTCAAGCGCACCGATGGGCTCGGGTTCGCGTTCACTGACACTTGAGGGTTGATTGGCTACCGCTGCTGCTGCTGCTGCTGCTGCTGCTGCTGCTGCTGCTGCTGCTGCTGCTGCTGCTGCTGCTGCTGCTGCTGCTGGCTGGTCTTCTTGCATCGACACTCTCTGCCTCAAGACGGGCGATCACATGCTCAATAAGTACTGGGACGGGCTCAAACGCACAGGCATGCTGGGGTTGGCGTTCACTGACATGTGAACTCTTATAATGTGTGCTGCGCTGCGCTGCGCACGTACCGCATGCAAGCAGCCCACCGTGCGTACACGCGCCTCAAACGAGCAAGTCACGTGCTCAACTCAACAGTACTGAAACTGGCTCGGGCGCACTGATGAACTCGGATTGGCGTTCACGGAGGCTTGAGGGGGTTGGCTTGGCTGGCTGCCCCCGCTGGCATTCTTGTGTTGATTTGAGCTTGAGGAGGTGAGGAGCGTCTAGTCATGCAAGGCAAGAAAGCAACCACATGGTCAGCTCAGCACAGCATGTATCTGGTCTGGCTGGCGCTGAATATGCAATGATGGTCTGGCAGTGAATAATGCAATGTTCCTAAACCTATATTCTTACAAACCTTTCATCTGATCAGACTCTTTTCAACTCTTTCAACCGCCGATATCGGCATACGGTACCGTACCGTAAAGTGTACTGAAACGCATTGAATCTCAAGAGTTTGGTATGGTAGATGTGACTCTGATTAGAGGTGCAGGAAAACGGTTTAGATGGACCATGTGACTCTGTTGCTGCTGCTTCAGCAGCCATGTAATGGATGCTTTCTGGATGTACAATGTGCACCTTCTGATACCGTACCAACAATCCATTACCGTACCACATCTCTTGACACGGGGAGCACTCATACATCATCCTACCCCGTTTGCTCATTGGTGTACGCAGGCAATCGAACAAGCAAGAAAGGCACAGGCAAGGGCACAACCTGCGTTGCTCTCCCGCAACCCCTCTCACAATCAAATCAGCCAATCCATCTAGTCTAGACACCCTCTTGCGTCCAGTTCCTGAATCAGCCTCTTGAACGGAACCAATTTTGGAGGCGCCTCAAAACCCTTCTCACAATCAATCAGTCAGTCAGGATACCCTCTCTCATCCAGCACTTTAATCAGCCTCTGAAATGAAACCGGCCGGAGCATGCCCGCATACGTGTCATCCGGGGGAGCGGGATAGCAATCCCCCAGCACGTGCAAATCCCGCATGCCTCTAGCTCCGCGCACCACCACGTTCAGCAGATGCTCATTGGCTGTCGTGCAATGCACCGCCAGCTGGCGCAGCGACTGGCACGATCCGAGGATCCCCGCCGATGGCATCGACATGGATCGACGGTTGAGATCGCAGTCCGACGGCGGCCAATAGTGCAGCGACTCAAGCTCTGGAAGCTGCTGAATCCCATGCAGGTAAAACCTTTCCCAGGCCATCACATCATAGGCTAGTCCGGGAGGGCAGCTCAGCGAATGCCCCACCACTTGCGTCAAATCGAGCCGCAGGAACCGCAGCCCGCCGCCTCGGGGCCGGCTGCGAGCCGACAGGGCAGCGAGGAGAGTGAGGGACTGCAGAGCAGGCCATTGGGAGGAGTCTGGTGCGGTGGACGGGTCTTGTGCTGCTTCTGAGCCACACAGCAACTCATCTGTACCGTCAGTCCCCGCCCTGCCTTCCAGTCGCCGCCTCCCCCCTTGCCTGCTTCACCATGCCATCCCCTGCCCCTTCACCAGCAGCACCACCAGCAGTACCGGCACCAGTACCATCAGCACCGTCGCCATTTCCATCTGCACCGCTTCGAACCGGGGAAACGGGAGCCACGCTGCTGTTCGGGCAGAACCAGTCGCAGGAGCAGTGCAGGTGCTGCAGCGTGCTTCTAACGGGGGAAAGAGCCCTGAGCACCGCTGCTGTGGGCAAATTACAGCACTTCACTACAGTCACCCGGACCAGCGAGTGCCGGCACACCCGAGCCACGGCCTCCAGGCTCGGCGGGGTCAGGTCCGGGCAGCCCCAGATGCTGAGCTCTTTAAGTCGCGGGCAGGAGAGGGCGAGGGGGAGCAGGCAGCGCAGGGGCAGTGAGGGGGCTTGCCAGAAGTCTAAGGCTTCAAGTCCCTGAGGGAGGATGGTGGAGGTGGAGGGAGGGGTGGTGGTTCCTTGTGCTGCTGCTGCGGATGATGCAGATGAGGAGGAGGGTGTTTTCCCAAATGATCCCTGTGCAGATGTACCTTCCCCGGATGTACCTTCCCCTGATGCAGGCACTGGCGCCAGCGAGTCATTGTGGGCGAAAACCAGCTGTCCCAGACGCAGCCGCTTCAGGTTTGGACTCAGCTGCCCCAGACTCACCGTTGCTGTCACCCCACCCCTCCCTCCACCACCACCAGTGGTACCACCAAACGCACCAGCAGCGCCGCCAAACAGACTCACATCTGCCCCCCTCAAATACTGCGCCGGCCGCAAATCCAGCTCCTCCAATCCCGGCAATCGCACTAGAAACGAGCGAATGCCGCCCGGAGTAACCCTTGCATCCATATCGGGCGGCAGCGCGTCGTCATGGTCCCCGAGCGCCAGCGACAAACCCGAGGGCGCCGCCCAGAGCGAGGAATCCACCAGCTGTAGCGCCGTCAGCACCGGGCACCTCTCGGTTATCTCAATTAGGGTTTCGTCTGAGAGGGAATCGGAGAGGCGCGGGTCGAATTCGACGAGGCAGCGGAAGGAGAGGAGGGTGCGGCCGGCGGAAGAGAGGATTGAGCGGATGTCTGACGCTTTGAAGGCGCCTGGGGAGGACTTGAGGAGGTTCAGGTGGTGCAGGGCGGAGATGGGCGCGGAGGGGCGGAGGAGAGGCGCGCGGGTGGGCTTGTAGGGGGGTTCCGTTCCTGCTGCTCCTCCTGCTCCTGCGGCCGAAGCAACAGCAGCAGCAGCGGCGGCGGCGGTGTCGGCGGCGGCTTGGGGGGCGGCAGTGAAGGCATCAGTAACATGGTCAGGGAAGCACGTGAACTCGGATAGGTCTATGCTCTGTACTCGGCTGCACATCACCAGCAAAGGGGTCAGCTCTAGGGTTCCTAGTGGGTTCGCATTCAGATTAGGGTTTCCGGTGTTATTGTTGTTTGCTCCTTGCTCTGCTGCTGCTGCTGCTGCTGCTGCTTCCGCTGCAGAAAACTCGTGCCAGCGGATCAGAGCCACGTGCTCCAGCCCCGGCCACGTGGCCGCCACGCACTGCACGTCGTTCCGGTCCCGCACGTGCACGCGGAGAGAGGCCACCCGCGGAAAGGCCGCGCGGAGCGTTGTAGCGACCTCAAGCGCGGATCCCGCGAGCAGCAGCGGCTGCCCGCAAGGGGGGCAGAGCGAGAGGTCTAGTCGGCGCACGTTTGGGAAGCATCGCGGAAGCTGCAGGAGGTCCGCGAGGGAGAGGCGGACGGAGAGGGAGGTGCGTGTGAGGCGCTCGCTCGTGCGCCATCGCCGCGAGACGAGCGCGCAGCAGTTGCGCGCGCGCGCGTCGGAGACCCGCGCGATGATCTCGAGAATGACCTCGTCGGGGAGTAACCCCTCCGTCGTGCTCTCCGCTGCTGCCACGTCAGCCTTCGGTGTGTGCGCTGCGACTTCTCCAGCTCGCTCCACGTCAGCTCCGGCTTCAGCGGCCACGTCAGCTTCGCCTTCGCGACACGTATCAGCCGCATCCCGGCCGTCGTCACCCGCAACCCCAACTTCCAGGAACCTTCTAAGGCCCAACAATGGATTCGTTGAAATACCGAACCCTAACCGGTTAGCTGCCGCAGATAGTGGGTTCGCGTCCATGGAAGCTTGAGCCAATGGATGCGCGGACAACGAGGACGCGTATAACGAGGCCGCGTATATCGAGGACGCAGGATTGACGGCTGTTTCAAACCCGCCGCCCTCGTCACCCCCCTCCTCAACGGCTCCGCGAAAAAAGGCGTCATCGTTTCCGTCAACGGACGTACAATTTATATCCGCTAAACCGTGATCCTCCTCTAAATCTTCGCTAAATCCGTCATCCTCCTCCTCCTCCGCCTCCTCCTCCTCTCCCTCGTCCTCCTCTGCTCTCCCCTCATCACCCGCTCCGCTGTCCCTCTCATTCACCGAAAAACCGGGAACTCTTGACGACATAAAACTCCCTCCCTCCGCGAGATCAAGCTCACTCGAACTCCGTCCCCGCTTCCTGCTAGCTCCGCCAATCGCGTCGCAGTTTGGATGACCGTTGATGTCACCGGTACCATGATCGCCCGTAACATAACGGTTCATACCATCACCGCTCGTACATTGACCGATCGTATCGTGACCGTTGAAGTAACTCTCGCCTCCACCATTCCCACCCTCCTCCACCTCTCCCTCCACATCCTCCTCCGCCTCCTCGCTTTCCACGTCGAAATCACTATCCAAATCTCCCCCGCTCAAATCATGTGCCATATCCCCTCCTCCGCTGCTTCTACCCTCCTGCTCCTCCGCGACCGCCTCTCTCTCCACACCCGCTGCTTCCTCCCACATAAGCCTCCTAACGAACACGCCGTTACTCGCGCTCATCCTGAACCTCCAGCTACACGTGTACACGCTAAATCGCCTGCTAAAAAATGTTCTAGTCAGTGCCCTGCGCGACACTGCGTCAGTATTTTATTCCTGCAGCTGCTTTTCGCTAAAGACGGCTTCACTTGGAATTCCTCCGCAGCGCACGCAGCCTGTCCGTCAACTGATTCAGCCGCGGCTAGTTCAACGTTTCCTCAGCATCGCGCAACAGCTTGGCAGGAATAAGCAGTCCGTCATTTGGTTTGCCAAACAAGCACTGGAGAATGAGGATAAGCATCCATCACATCACATGTATCCATATGACAACACAAGCTGAACATAAGGACGCGTCACAATTGAAACATCGATCCTGCGCAGGATCGGTGTTTCGCGGGTACAGTACTTCGTTAAGTTGCGAATTGGTGGTTACTTAATTTCGTTATCTTTCGCCAATATACAGTTGTCCCCTCAGAGTCACGCGATCGATGTGCCCTTGCCACACATCGATCGTGCAATTTCGTCCAGATCGGGCGATTTTGCCCCATGATTTTTCAAATGTGTCCCTTGAGAATTGCGGTGAGCCCGCGATTGCAACAATGCAGTCGTGGCACACCGATGTGGCGATCGATTTGGCAGGATCGGCGAACACCCCCGATCCTTCCTCGGTATTTCAATTGTGACGCGTCCTAACAAGTTGGAATGGTGGCGAGCCATCCGAAAATACTAGGAGCTCTCAAAATCGTGTGAAGGGCGTTGCAAGTTGCAACTTGTACGGAAGGCAAGGGAGAGAGGCCAGACAGAGAGGAGAGAACAGCAGAGGCCATCACGGGGCATAACGCCGTGGCGGGAGAGTGAAGGGGGGAGCGGGGAGAGGGGAGCGGGGAAAGGGGAGGGGGAGCTGGGAGCGGGGAGCTGGGAGCGGGGAAAGGGGAGGGGGAGCTGGGAGCGGGTGGGGAGCTGGGAGCGGGGAAAAGCGGAACATGATGGGAAAGAGGCGGACAGACAGGCTTGGTCCCGATGAGATGCAGACAAGCTTGGCCGTGGCGAAAGCTGACAGTCTTGGCGTTGGCGAAAACAGACAATGGCGACAGCTGGTGAAAATATGGCTTGGGCAGGCAGCAAGATGGACCTCAGATCAGTTCCGGGCGTGTTTCATAGCAGCACGTGCTGCTCGGACTTTTCAAGGTTTCCATCTGAACCGAGAATAACCTACACATATTTCAAGAATCCAGCTGAACACATCACACGAGTTCGGGTCGGACTGTTGATTCCCGCCCGTGTCAACTGCGGTGGTGGCGTGGAGTGGAGCCCTGTGACACACTCCGCCTGCCCAAATGCTCCTCCAAGTGCAACCACGAAACTTGATTGGTTTGGTTTGAAAAAGCTTTCCACAATTGGAAGTTCGGCGGCAGGTCAGCCAAGTTTGATGAATGAGATGAGAGAACCCGTCCCAAACCAAGCCTCGTGTCGTGTGGTTGAGAAGCACCCAAGCTGAAATCGACGGCCTGGGGGAAACGGCAATAAATACTTGGGCAATTACCTCCGCGGTAACACTCATTGAGCTCGATCGCACGTGAAGTAAGCTACGTGTCCAAATTGTAACAAAAGTATCCTGTCGTCGCCCCCGTGGTAACCATCATGCCTAACAAGTCAGTATTATTGATTGCCTGAATGGTAATGAACAGTGCATCCGAAATTGAGTGTTACTGCGGAGGTAATTGCCCTAAATACTTCTAGTGATGTAGAATTTTCCTTGGATTTAGAGGCTACAACGCGGATGATTGAAGCAGCGAATAGTGCATACATACCGTATCAGGAAGTTGTACAGTTCAAACAAGTGCCATAAAACAAGAATAAGAAAAGTTGGATCTTTTCAAAAGCCAGCTCAAGTCAAGCACTACAATCTGGTTGCACATAAAAGTGGTGGGGAGGGGGGAGGTTGAGGGAAAGGACAGCAAGGTTCAACAAACTGTTCGGCGCCAAAATCTGTGAGGGCACATATACTGGGTGAAATAAAGGACTTGAAACTGACACAGTTTCAAAGGTGACAGATCAAGTGGAAAGGGACAAAACCATGGTAAGGGTTGGTGGGTGAGGGAGGGATGGGGAGTGAGAGGGGAAAGGTATTGGGAGGGGGAAAGGCAAGAGTGAAAACAGGAACGTGCAGAAGAGAACAGGAATAGCAAGAGTACAATACAAGTCGACTCACTTTGCTCTGGTGCAATATGCCTGGTCTGCTCTCTCACTCCTTCAGATTGCTTGCCTTTCACATGCAAGTCCCGTGCTCCTGTTCATCCCTCCCATCACCTCCCCCTCCTTCCACCCTACACACGTCACCATAAAGCCGCTCAAAATCCTCATCCTTCAGTCGCAGCACAAAACTCAGGCTCACATGCAGCCCCGCCCGAGCCACACCGCCGAGCCTCGGCCGAATCCGCCGAGCCAGACTGTACCCGAAATACTGTGGGTGCTGAACCGCCTCGTCAATACCCCTCCCCACTTCCTCCAGGTACTGTAGCTTTGGCATTAAGTTATTATTCCAGCTGTAATTGAAGAGATGAGGAAATTTCTGAAGCATGTCAATAGTGAGGCGGGGTGGAATTCCATAACTGTCAAATGCGGCAATTGTGGGCAAAATTCGCTTAGTAGTGGAGAGTCCAAGGATCGATGGGTTGGCTCGGATGAGCTTCGCAGGCTTGGCGATTCCCGAACCAAGCCAGAAGGTCAGGGTTGGTTGAAGGTTTTCTGTAATGGAGTAGGTTAGGCAGCGTGGGTGGCGTGAGATCACCACAGGGATGTCGCGTGATTGGTCGAGCCCCCATGCTTCCACCAGGTGGGAAATTGTCGGGCAGATATTTCTTCAATACTCAGCCCGAGGAGCTGTGGGCAGGCAGACAAAACTTCCCAGTCAAGCAGGGTTTAATGCCAACGGAGGTGAGGTAAACCGCCATGGCTCGGGCAGTTGAAGGCGGGTAGAACAAAAGTTTGGGAAAGGAGGAGAGGGCTTTTCCGGTGTCTATCCCCAAACCCTGAAGGAAGAGCAACCTTTCCATTGCCACGTCTGCAGGCATCGCGTGGTACTGAGTCAGAATGCGGGTCATCTTACGTGGCTGCACGCCGATCTCCGTCAGCATCAGCCGCCATTCCGCCTCGGAGGGACTCAGGTAGGTGAACGAAGACTGGGAAGCTTCAAGAGCCACTGAGCGCCTTTGAGGTTTAACCACGCCTGACAGACTCACGACGTGCTTAAAGGACGACATCGACAAACATTTCCTTCCATCGCCACTGCTGCTGCTGCCGCGGCCACCGCTGCTGCTGTCGCTGCTGCTCCTGCTGCTGCTGCTGCTGCTGCTGCTCCTACTTCTGCAGCTGCTGCTGCTGCTGCTGCTGCTGCTGCTGCTGTAAGAGCGGCAACCCATCTGTCTACAAGCCATACGACTGCCGTGCTGGCAATTATTCAGTGAGTCCCTTCCGGACCCTCTGAATGCCCTAACTGTCGCCTTGAGCCCGGATTCTAGTAGAATGTTCGGTAGTGCCGAAACGCATCGATTCCCCTCGTTAAAGGAACATCTTGCACGCCAATCGCGCTTACCTGCCCGCGCCTGGTTAGGTCTACCAGGCCTGCCTACTGCTGCGGCTTGGCAACGGGTATATCGCGGTAGATTGAAATGCGTCGACATGAAACGTGTCGAAGTGAAACGGGTGGAGATGAAACTTCGCGACAAGTCACCAGCCATCCCGAATGATGAAAAAAAGGGCTGTGGGAGCCGAAACCGGTTATTTCCTTCGAAAGCTTATCCGCTTCAGATGCCTTGTGACGGAGTACTAGGGACATTATCGAAGGACATGGCTGAGCAGGTCGTCACGAAACGCGCGGCATCAGAAGCGGAAATGTTCCAATGACCAGTGGTAGTGGCAATTTTGAAAGACCGCAAGCAGGACTCTTCGTGTGTACGCGCTAAAAAGTCGCGTCTCTGCATTTCTAGTAATCAGCTCGTTAATGGCATGCATCATCACCATATGAACAGTTTTCTAGATAGGAGAGAAGAAACACATGGACCAAATAATCTACAGAAGAGAATGCAGATTTTTGTGCGCTATGTATCTATATACATGTTTAATCACCCTATCCCATTCTAAGTCAAATGTATTGGCACACAAGCCATCTCCATGTGTTCAACTATTTAAGCGTAGGGCACTTGGCATCAAGAAAGTCCCGTAGCATTTGAGCAGGACGCATGCCGCCCATAATTGGTGCCAGCTCATCAACACGCATCAGCGCCAGCTCAGCCAAGCTGCCGCAGTTATCGACCAATGAGCGGTAATTCGCATCAGAGACCCCGGGTAGGCGCCGAAGAAACTCCACAGCTGTCGTGTTGAAATGCTCGTCTCTGATTGGTGGGATAATGACCAAAAAGGGCAGCATGGGGTGGACAAGAAGAGGTATGTGAGCATTACACAGCTAGTGAGAGTGAAAGCGAGCGAAGAGAGACACAGATGCTATCCTCCCTTGCTCCATGCCACCTGTTCTCAACTCACATCTCGTTTCCTCCTACAGCCCCACTCATCTCTCATTACCTCATCTATCAAAACCGCTTTTGAGAATCCTTAAGAACCAGCTCCTCCCATGCTGTATGCTGTTCCCAACTCATATCCCATTCCCCCCTACAGCCCCACTCATCTCTCATTAATGTTTACCTCTGTGCTTCACATCTCCCCACCATCCTCTTCTGCTTTGAACGCACTAAAAACCCAATCAACCTCGTATCCTCCCCTCTCTCAGCGCACCAATCTCCCAACCGCATGATGTCACCTAGCCTCTACCTCGGACATCAGTACCTACCCTGGCTTATATCACCACCTTTGTGAAACTGCTGGTACGATACAATACAAGCAGACCTTGAATGTCACCCTACCCCGTGTCACTCTGCCCCTACCCCGTGTCACTCTGCCCCTACCCCGTGTCACTCTGCCCCTACCCCGTGTCACTGTGCCCCTACCTTGTGTCACTCTGCCCCTACCTCGTGTCACTCTGCCCCTACCTTGTGTCACTCTGCCCCTACCTTGTGTCACTCTGCCCCTACCTCGTGTAACTCTGCCCCTACCTTGTGTCACTCTGCCCCTACCTTGTGTCACTCTGCCCCTACCTCGTGTCACTCTGCCCCTACCTTGTGTCACTCTGCCCCTACCTTGTGTCACTCTGCCCCTACCTTGTGTCACTCTGCCCCTACCTTGTGTCACTCTGCCCCTACCTTGTGTCACTCTGCCCCTACCTTGTGTCACCCTCCACCAGCCCATCCTCTGTCGGCACGCCGACCCTCATGGCCTGGTCGACACTTGGCTCGTCCTGATTGGTCTTCAGCGATGCGAAGATCTCAGCCGTCGCATGGAGCGATCTGGACCACACGATCCGCAGGCGCGGGAAGTGCAGCGCGAGCAGCGACATCTTGGATATGATGCTCGATGGGGTGATGTCATCGCTGATGTCACTCGCTGACTGGGAATGTGGGAATTGGGAGGTGGGGTGGAGAGAGAGAGTGAAAATACAGAGACAAGTATGAATGAAAGTACTTAATAAGGAGCACGGAGAGGCGGGCGGTTCATGGCCTCTTGGCCTCTTGGGATGATCCGGGCACCCAGAAGCAAAGCATGCTTCAGGTCTCTCACTCTTCTGAGCTGACTTGTAAGTCGCTCAGAGGAAAAGCACCCAAAGGGGTCGCTCAATCCTTGCACTTGCAGTGAACTGAACTGAGAGCCCCTGTTACATATAGCTAGAGAAGCTCTCGTCGCTCAAGAATTCGATGAGCAACACCGGAAGGTGGTAGTAGCCGCCTGATGCAAGTGAGGCAAACAGGCCGCTCACTTGCTCGTCTGAACCACACACAGTGACCCTCTGGCGAGCCCCTGTTTACCTGCAGGGAGAAGCTCTTGTCGCTGGAGAACTCAATGAGCAGTGCTGGCAGGTGGTAGTAACGGCACATGGCCTCTGCCTGATGGTGCAAGCGGCCCGAAGCGAAGGAGGCAATGAGGCTGCTTGTACACAGTCTCTTTTTAAGCGACCCGATGCAAAGGAAGCACAGAGGAAGCTCTCTCGCTCTCTCTTCTGAACCACAGAGATACAAAGTGCCCCTGTTACCTGATCTTGAGATGTCTCAAAAACACAGAGACACAAAGAGCCCCTGTTACCTGCAGGGAGAAGCTCTTGTCGCTGGAGAACTCGATCAGCAGCACGGGAAGGCGGTAGTAGCGGCACATGGTCTCCGCCTGGTGGTGCAGGCGGCCCGACGCAAAGGAGGCGAAGAGGTCACTGACGCTCTTGCGCTCCACACAGATGGCCGGCGAGAGGATGTAGTCGCCCACTTCTAGTGTGACTGGGAGGATCTTGATGCCTCGTTGGTGCAGCACGCAGGGCAGGCTGCTGTTGAACTCCCTCATATCCACCACCACCTGTCGGAGGGAGGGGCGCCCAAGAGAGGAATACACATGCATGCATGGGGGGGTGTGGGACGAAAGAAGCAAGGCCCTTGCACGCCACACAGACGTGAGGGGAGAGGATGTAATAACCCCCTTTGGGAGGGACTGGGACACCACCGGGACGGTGAGACCGAGACAGAGTACCCCCATTCCTTCCCCCTCCTGACCTTCCTCTACCTCCCTCCCGTTCTCACTCACCCTCTTCTCTTGTCTCTCTGCCGCTCTGCGCCCTCCGCCTCTCCTCGTGACAGCATCGGCGGCAGCGGGGCAGGACAGGCGCAGAGTGTATTAAGGAACATCGTTTACGCACCCAACCCCTCCCCTGCTCCCCCCTTTTACCTCCCTCTTCTCACTCACCCTCATCTCTTGCCGCTCTACAGCTCTCCGCCCTCCCCCTCTCCTCGTGACGGCATTGGCAGCAGCGGGGTGGGTGAGGGGCGGAGGAGGCAGGCTCATGTGGGAATATTCTGTGGTGGACCGGCCGTCCTGATGGGTTTAATGGGAAGGAGCAAGAGAGAGGAAAGAAACAAGCCAGAGACACAGGTGGGTGAGACAGGGGGAGAGGAGGCAGGACCATGTGGGAATATTCCGCGCTGGACCTGCCGTCCTGATGGGTTGAATGGGAAGGGCGGGCAGATTAGAAACAACAATACGAGAAAGGAAGGAGACTACTCAGACGGGCAGGGGCAGAGGAGGCAGGCTGATGTGGGCATGGTGCGGGGCAGACCTACCATCCCGATAGAGAAAGCAAAGAAGGAAAGGGAAAGGAAAGAGACTAGTCAGACAGAGCCAGCAGTGGAGCAGGACACGAAGGCGTCCCAGAAATCATAGTTTGACGTGAAGCCAGAATCGTCCATCAGCTGACAGACACTGTCGAGATGACTTTCCAGTCGACTCAAAAGTCACCTCGTTACAATGGCACACTTCCCAGACATCCAAGTTTCACAAGAAGCCAGAATCGTCCATCAGCTGAAATTCACGGACGATCGCTTTGATACATTGCGCGACAATTCACGGTGCTTTGGTTGTTTTGCCAGTTTCCTACTTGGTCCCTCTCTCCATGAACTCCATCAAGACACCTAAGAAGAGAACAAGCTGCTCATTGAGTTGTCTAAGAATCAGCTGCATGCTGTCGGCAGCTGCTCTGTCAAGATATATAGAACAGCACGACCTTGTGTGATCAGCCCCGCTCGAATCACACACACCACTCACCATGTGCGACGCACTCTACGCTTCACATGGCTCTTGAGACGTTTCAACAGCAGCTCGAATCACAAACGCACCACTCACCGCGTGCTCACCATACGCTTCACATGCTCTGTTGCAGCACAGGAAACTGCCCACCTGTTCTTATGGGATGGTCATCACAGCCTTCTGCCTGATCATGTGCTCAAAGGATTTGCCATGTGCTGCTGCAACAACCCACCCACCTGCTCTGCCGGGATGGTCATAACAGCCTTCTGTCTGATGAGCTGCTCAAACGCCCCGTTCTCCCTCCGCACGCTCGCCTCAAACTTGTGGCCCTCTGTGGACCCCTCGTGGAACAGAAAGAGCACCCTCAGGGGAGGCTGCTGCGACCGTGCAGTGGCAGCAGTACCAGCGCCAGCAGGAACAGCACCAGCAGCACCACCACTAGCAGCATAAGCAGCAGCATCAGCAGCGGCAGCAACATCTGTGACTGATCCCCCTTCAACAGGCTCTTCCATTCCCCCCCTGTCCCCACACACGCCATCCCCTCCTCCCTCTGAGCCACCTTCTCCCCCCCTGGCAGCTTCCGAAGCAGTCACAACACTTCCTTCCCTGCCCGCCACGCCTGCCCGAGAACTCGCCCGGGCAGCATGAAATACTTCGATCTGGCGAACGAGCTCTATGTCGGGATCATAGACCACCACCACGCCCGGCTGTAACCGCTCCAGCACGTGAGACGCGCCCTCCAGCGTGCACAGGTGGACACCTGGCAGCCTGCCATTGGCCGATGGTGGGACAAACTCAAGGCGGATGCGGGCGGGGAGGGGGAGGGAGGAGGCGGGGTGTGGGGGGACGGGATGTGGGGTGGGGTTGTGTGGTGCTGACATGGATGGTGCAGAATTAGAGAGTGTAGAGTTGGTGGGTGGAGGCTCAGATGGTTGAATAGGTACATTAAAGTTTCGGATGGGTGACGAGGTGTCAGGGTTAGGTCTCCAGAGTTTCCGCCTTTTCGCTCCCTCATTTATTTCCCCAGAATCCTTTGCATTCCCCTCACCGCCGTCCCCCACTATAGCCTCAACTTCCTCTATAAGAACCACATCACTATCACTATCACCATCACTATCATCATCACCATCCTTGTCATTATTGCCAATGCTGCCCAGTCTAGCCCCTTCCTCCTGCTCCTCCTCCCCTTCCTCCGCCTCCCCTTGCTCTTGCTCCTCCAAGCTTTCTTCCATCCATCCTCGTTTCCTCTTCCTCTCTCCTCCCCGCCCCCTCCCCCGTGCTCCAGATCCCCCACCCCTTTTCCTCCCTCTGGCCCCTCCTCTCCCTCGCCCTCTCCTCCCCTTCCCTCTCCACCTCTCTCCCTTCTCACTCCCCTCCCTCTCTGTTCCCTCATCACTACCCTTGTCCTCCTCACTACCGTTTCCCCTCTCCTCTCTCGCCTCTTTCACCCCCACCCCATCACCTCCCCCGTCCCGTGCCTCTCCGTCCCCATTCTCCCCTTCCTCCCTGTCAGCCCCCCCCTGCACCTCTTGAACCTCGTTCCCATCCTCAAACCCACCTCCACCCCTCTCCACCACTTCCAAATCTAACTCCAGTCGCACATGCCGCCCATCTGCCTCTACTCCTCTCCCAACCCCTGCTGCTGCCGCACCCCTTTTTCCCCTCCCTCTCCTCCCCCTCCCCCTCCCCCTCCCCCCACCTCCTCCCCTTGCCCCTGCACCCCCGATTTCCCCCCTCACTTCCCCATCTCCCCTCGCCCCTCCCTGCATCCCCCCTCCCCCTGCTACACCCCCTCTCAACCCCCCACTCTCCTCCTCTGCCCTCCCAGCCATCACCCACTCTCCTCCCATCTCCTCCTCTTCCATTTCCCTCCTCACTCGCTTCGCGGCTGCCAGCAGCAGCACCTGCTCTCTCTGAAACGAATCCATGCCACTCTCGTTTCTAGAAGCGCCATTTCCTCCACTCCTGTTGCTACTGCCACCACAACTACCACTACCAATATCAGCACCACTGCCAGCACTGCCAGGCGCAGCACTACCAACACCAGCAGCAGCGCCACTAGCAGCAGTGCCAGTGCCCCCCCGAGCAGCAGCAGCAGGGGCATGTCTCCTTCTGGGAAGGTTCGCCTTCATAAGGTCAGCTTTGGCCAGCAGGTAGTGCTGCCACTCCCGCTGCATCACCTGCCGATGGCGGGAAGGGGGTAGCAGGAGTGGGTGGGAAAGGTGGTAAGGAAGAGGTAGCGATACCTGCCAGCCGAATTGGACCTCATGAAGGCACATCTGGTAGGCCCTATCAAAAGGATTAATGGGGAAGGGTGGAAGAGGAGAGGGTTAATAATTTGCTGCCATATGGCGTGCGTTCTCACAAGGTCAGCTTTGGCAAGCAGGTAGCGCTGCCACTCTCGCTGCATCACTTGGTGACGGCGGGAAGGGGCGGCAGGGTGGGGGGGAGGTCAGTGGGGGAGGGGGGGTGAAGGAGAGAGGGGAAGAAACCGAGGGAAGGATGACGCGGAGAGGGTTGATTGATTGTCGTATGGACCAAGACGAACAGCATGCGTCCTCACGAGGTCGGCTTTTGCCAGCAGGTGCTGCTGCCACTCGCACTCCATCGCCTGGTAATGGCGGCTTATGAGACCATGAGCCAGGTTTCAGAACCTGAACGACACGTGACCTCACTCACTCTCACCATTCACATGAGGCCATGTGCATTTCAAAAGTACCGTGTGAGCCCTTTCGAAATGCACCATGAGGGCTGTGAACGTGAAATCAGCTCTCACCATGGCGGCGCTTTGAGGTGCCTATGAAATCGGCTCAACCACTCACACGACTCACACGAGGGCCCCTCAAAGGTGAGTGAGTGAGCCAAACGTGTTGTGTGCACCGCAAAATCAGCTCACCGTGGCGGCACCAAAGAAAATGATGTCCCGCAGCTGGTGGCTAGTGCACTCATCCTTGCAGGCCACTAGCACAGGGGGAGCTGCTGCTAGTGCTGCTGCTAGCAGTGCTGCTGTTGAGGCACCCTCATTCACATGATGAGGTGCCTCAAACGCAAGGAGTGAATTGTGGAGTGCAATGAGCTCACCGTGGCAGCACCAAGGGCAAGCACGTCCCGCAGCTGGTGGCAAGTGCGCTCGTCCTTACACGCCACTAGCACGGGGAGTGCTGGTGATGATGCTGCTAGTGATGCTTGTGCTGTTGCTGTTGATGGTGCCGGTGGTGGTGCTTCTGCTTCCTGCTGTTGTGTGCTGCGCTCCGCTTGAATCTCTTCCAGCAGTTCCTGATGCAAAGAGGGCGATTGGAGGTCAAGAAGCAAGGAAACAACTTGGTCTAAGATGTCTCAACTCAAATGTTGATGCGAAGGACAAGAAGCGTGCGACCTGCCACCCTCCCCTTGAAGCCTACGAGCAGGCTGAAACCTATATATTTTGTAGCTTTTTTTTTTTTGTTTTTTCAACTTAAAAAAAACGACTTGTTATTTTTGAGTCAACTCAAAATTCTCTTGAACCCTACGAGAAGGTTGGGGGAGCATATGATCCGACTCACCCTTAACAGACTCATCCTCACATCATCGAATTCACCTTCTTTTTACGACTCACCCGCAGCACCTTCCACTTGGGCATCTCCTCCAGCACCGGCTGCCGCTCCAACCCACCACCATCCCACTCTAGGCTTACTAGTAGGCTCAAACCTACTTTCAAAGAGACTTACAGTCACCATTTCGTTATCTCACTCACCCGCAGCACCTTCCATTTGGGCATCTCCTCCAGCACCGGCTGCAGCTCCACCCCACCCTCCTCCCCGCTCCCCCTGCTGCCTCCCTCTTCCCTCACTTCCAGCCCCAGCCCTTCTTCATCAGTGCCCCTTTCCCCGCCCACTCTGTCCTTTTCCTCGCCCGTGCCTCCATTTCCCTCCTGCTCCTTTCCACGCAAAGCCTGAGTGTAAGATGGGAGCACGAGAGAACACACCCAATGGAGAAAAACAGACTCCTCCGGCCATGAAGCTTTTGGAGCCGGAAACCAGAGCAGTACTATGCAGGCGCAGTGCAACGACTGGCGGAGCTCAATCCTTTCGTGGCCGGTTGGCGCTCATGATGTGCTGCCAGTGGCGGTGGAGCTGCTGCTGCAGCTCATGCTCTCCTCAAAACTTGCATGCGGTGCGGTGCCGTGCAGTGCAATGCGATGTAGTGCAATGATTGATGGAGCTCACTCTTTTCTTGGGCACTTGCTTCTCATGATGTGCCGCCAGTGGCGGTGGACCTGCTGCTGCTGCTGATGCTCTCCTCAAAACCTGCATGCAGTGCAGTGCGGTGCAGTGTAGTGCAGTGCAGTGCAATGAATGACTGTCAGAGCTCACCTTCTTCTTGGCCGGTTGCTTCTCATGATGTGCTGCCAGTGGTGGTGGACCTGCTGCTGCTGACCTCACAACCTGCATGAATGCATGGAATTAAGTCAGGAAAGAGCCACAACCATCATATTTTCCAACGGACTCTTGGGAAAGAATGTAAATTTATATTGAGAAAACTCGGCCATCATATTTTCCAGAAAACCCTACAAATTTCAGTGACATCCGTGAAAACGAATGCAATATGAAGCCTTGCCCCCTCCACCTCCCCCACTTCCACCCCTCTCCTTTCCCCTTTGCCCCCCCTCCACACGTATGTGCCATGTCATATTCATTGATGTCAAGACCAGCATATACCTTCATTCTGTACAGCATAATGAAATCGCACTCTTCATTGAAACAAACGTCCATAATTTTCGAACCACGTTCATGCTCTGAACCATCAAAGGGGAACATGCATGCCGTGCCATCGACACCCACTTGCAACACCAGGTAGAGCACATACATGTTGGTCATATTTGTGCTCTACCTGGTGCTGCAAGTGGGTGTCGATGGCACGGCATGCATGTTTTTTTTTAATTCAAAGCTTGAACGTGGTTCGAAAAGTATGGACATTCGATTTGATGAAGAGTGCGCCATCGAAGTATTTGGAGAGCATGATTTCATTATGTTGTACAGACTGAAGGTACATGTTGGTCTTGACATCAATAAGATAGACCAGTTTGGCCAGCTCAAATAGCTTGGACGCGAGGTCTATGTACTTTCATATTCCCCGCGTGTAACACCCATGCCCAATCGCCTCACCTGATCCTCCCGCCCCGCTCACCTGATACACCCTCCGTTTGGCCAGCTCAAATATCTTGGGCGCGGGGGGTTTTAGAATGCCCTTTTCCTCATGTGCGGGTTTTGGTACACCTATGCTCGGGCCCTCTCACCTGATACACCCTCCGTTTGGCCAGCTCGAATATCTTGGGCGCGGGGTCCACGAAGATCCAGATGGCGGCCTTTGATTCGCTCGCCTTGAGCGCATCCAGGAAGCGCAGGAAGGTGACTGAGTCGTAGCGCAGCAGGTGCTCTGCTATCTTCCGAAGGGTCCTGAGGTCAGCCACCAGCTGCATGATGAGAAGAAGTATTGGAAGGAATGGACGAGGGGACGGGGATGAGGACGGGAAGGGGGGCCAGGAAGGTGACTTCATCGTAGCGCAGCAAGTGCTCGGCTATCTTTCTCAGTGTCCTGAGGTCAGCGACCAGCTGCGGGGATAGGAAGGATGGGATGGCAGAGAGAGAAGAGAATGAAGAGGAAGCGCAGGAAGGTGACTGAGTCCTGAGGTCAGCCACCAGCTGCAGCATAGGAAGGAAGAAGGATTGGGTGGAAGAGAGGGAGGGTGATGAGAATGAGGCGCAGGTAGGTGACCGAATTGAGTCGTAGCGCAGCAGATGCTCTGCTCTCTTCCTGCGAGTCCTCGGATCGGCCAGCCGCTGCATGGAAGATAACACAAGGATGGGATAGGAGGGAAGAGAAGAGAAGCGCAGGAAGGTGACCGAATTGAGTCGCAGCAGGTGCTCGGCTATCTTCCTCAAAGTCCTGAGGTCAGCCACCAGCTGCATGATCAGAGGACGGGTGGGATTGAAGGATTAAGAAAACGGGGATGAGGACAGGAGGGGAAGCGCAGGAAGGTGACTGCGTCGTAGCGCAGCAGGTGCTCGGCTACCTTCCTGAGAGTCCTTAGATCGGCCACCAGCTGCATGGCAAACAATTCAGGGATGGAATGGGAGAAAAACGAAAAGAAGTGAAGGAAGGTGACTGAGTCGTGTTGCAGCAGATGCTCTGCTATCTTCCTCAGAGTCCTCAGATCGGCCACTAGCTGCATGACGAGTAAAGAGACGGGATGGAAGGAAAAAAAGGACGGGGATGAGGACGGGAATGGGAGAGCCGGAAGGTGACTGAGTCGTATCGCAGCAGATGCTCGGCTATCTTTCGGAGAGTCCTGAGATCGGCCACCAGCTGCAGCATAGGAAGGACGACGGATGGGCGCGAGAGAGGGAAGGGGATGTGGGAGGACGAGCAGGAAGGTGACCGCGTCGTAGCGCAGCAGATGCTCTGCTATCTTCCTGAGAGTCCTCAGATCGGCCACTAGCTGCAGCATAGGAAGGAAGAGGGATGGGGTGAAAGAGAGGGAAGGTGATGAGGATGAAGCAAAGAAAAATGACAACTTCGTATTGCAGCAGGTTCTCGGCTATCTCTCTCAGGGTCCTCAGATCGGCCCCCAACTGCATGATGAGCGAAGATGAGATATGGAAGTGAGGGATGAGCCCCAAGCCTGAAATTTTGAGGCGCCTCAATAAGCATGAAATGAAAGAGAGGGACGGGGATGCGGATGATAATGAAGAGGACGTACAGGAAGGTAAACACAGAAATCATTACACTTTAAACATAAGAACTGCCTCACCTGCTCTATGAGATAGCATGAGACAAGAGGCCAGACATACACATGACACGTCACCTGCTTGATCTTGCGGCCCAGGGTGTGCCACACGGGATCCAGCTGGCGCCTCACGATCTCGTCAAACGACTTGAACAGGCCGCTCTCCACCGTCAGATCGTCCACGTCCAGCTTGTTTGTACGGCGCAGATCCTTGCAAGATAAAGAGCAAGATTTTGAATGGGACATATTTGAGAACACATGTCGAAGGAATTTAAAGTTGACAGATATGAAGGTTCAGATTCAACTGTACCTGCACAGCATGAGCAAATACGGAGGTGCCTTGCCAAATATATAATGTGGCTGAGGGAAGGTTCGCACGTGCAGGCACGAGCTCATGACGCCACCGCGAGCCTATAATGGCCTGGTGGATGGCTGAGATGATGAGTCACAGCGGGCTATGAGCTATCAGGTTACTGAAGCTACGGGGGCTTGCACCAGCAGGCACGAGCCCATGACGTCGCCGCTGATGGCCTGATAAATGGCAGACACAAGTGGAGCGGTGTGCTGTGGAGGTATGGTGTTTTTGGGATGGGGAGATTTGCACCTGCAGGCACGAGCCCATGATGTCAACGATGGCTTGCTGGATGGTGGTGACAAGTTGACACGGGTGGGGCTCTAGGCTGAAAGGAGTTATGGGTAGCTGGGAGGGTGTGTACCTGCAGGCACGAGCCCATGATGTCAACGATGGCTTGCTGGATGGCTGCTGCTGCGGGGGAGAGAGGCACCCTCACGTCCTCCACATGCGGGGGGTGCTGCTCCAATGCCTGAGACACGCTCACCTGAACAGTGCATGCATGGGTGGGATGGAATGAAAAAGGCAGAACTTGAGGAAAATAGAAGAGGCACCCTCACGTCCTCCACATGCGGGGGGTGCTGCTCCAGTGCCTGAGACACGCTCACCTGAAAGCGCGGCCAGAGGTAGAGGCGGCGCAGGAAGAGCGCTTTGAGGATGCGCTCTGCCTTGTGGAAGCCGGCAGTGAGCGAGTTGGGGCGGTCTGAGAGCGCGTAGATGAAGCCGTGCTTGTTGGCGTCTCTGGGGGGCACAGGGAGACGGATAAGAGAAGAAGGGTTTGGAAGCATGTGCTGTGAAGGGAGAGCGACTTGAGGATGCGCTCTGCCTTGTGGAAGCCGGCAGTGAGCGAGCATAAATGAAGCCGTGCTTGTTGGCATCCCTGAGGCGGGTAACAGATGTGGTGAGATAACATTCAGTTGAAAAAGAGCGATATGAGGATGAGCCGTGCCTTGTGGAGGCAAGAGGGGAGGGAGTCGGGCCAAACAAGATGGCACAAATGAAGCACTGCTTGCTGGCGCCCCTGAGGGTTGGATACTGATGCATTAGCACACAGATTCAGTACACATTTTCAGATTTCTACAAACAAAATCACAGCCTCGAATCCAGCTTTTTTTAGCACCTTTGCATCTTCAGTGCAAGGGGAGTCATTCTCAGTTTCTACTACGGATAGGTAGTCTTTCAGAGCCGCTACTGGTTTTAATGCTTCACTGTTGAATGTTGTGGGCCGTTTTCAATACGTCATCTCGATTTCAAACATTTGTCCGGGTTCTTGGAATGGAAAAACAAGCCATGTAGGTGGTCAATCCGGAACTAAATGTGTACCCACTTAAACCTGAAAATTCACCTGAACTATCACCTGGGGCTGGCCACCTGAATGCTCCCACCTGAAGAGCCTGAGAATGAAGGCCTCTGCGCCTGTGTCGGTGACCCTGTGCGCATTCACCACCACTATACCCTTGAGCTGCGAGCAAGACGGGTAGGACGGGAGGAGCGAGTCAGGTAGGAAGGGAGGAGATGAGAAGTAGTGATATGCCCAAGGGCACGGCAGTGACACTGGCAATGAGAAGACATGCAAGGCTTGTACAGAAAGCCAACACGAGCACACTTCGCCTGAATACAAGGCCTATGCGTTACACATGCATACATGCAAACTTGTTCGTTCAGTTCACTTCACCCAAGGATGCAAACAATCCCGTACCTTGTTAAAAGGCACTCGATCCGAGAGCATGTCGACAATGATAATGCGGGAAGTCACGGCGAAACAACCTCCCTCGTAATCTTATGTTCCTTTGATGTACATTCATTCACACTATCCGCACCTTACTGAAAGGCACTCGGCCCGAAAGCATGTCGACAATGAGGATGCGTTATTGAGGCGCCTCAGAACACGTTCAATTCACCCAAGCATTCGTACAATCCCCAAACGCACCTTATTAAACGGCACTCGGTCGGAGAGCATGTCAACGATGAGGATGCGGGAGGCCACGGCGATGCACCCTCCCTTGTGACCTTCTGTTCCTTCAATCTACATTCATTCATACCTTATTGAAGGGCACTCGGTCCGAGAGCATATCGACAATGAGAATGCGGGAGGTCACAGCGAAGCACCCTCCCTCTCGATACGCCGCCACCCTGTCAGCACTAGGCATGCTGCTGTTCACCTCCGCCAGCACACACGGGAGTGCAGTGCGGTGCAGCGCGGTCAACGGCGCCGCTTCTGCATCCGGTCCATCGGATGCCACTGCTGGTGACGCCACTGTGTCTTTCCGTCTCCCTGCCGAAAGCACTACAGCAGCAGCTTCTATGCTTGCTGGCGCTGCTGCTGCTGCTGCTGCTGCCGCCGCCGCTGCTTCGTCTGCTGATCCTGATCCTGATCCTGCTGCCACCGCATCGTCCCGGGAAGCAACAGCCTGGCTCGAGGGGAGTGGAGTGGCGCCCAGAGCGCTGTTCAGCGCCTCAAGCTCCTCTTGCACTGCCTGCCGTGGTCGGGTGTGTGGCGACGTGAGAATAGATCAGTTCTTCAAACGCCTATATACAGCGCATTGTGCACCCCCTCAAGGCCCCCATGCACGGCCTGCTGTAGATGGGTGTGGCGGAGAGGGTCTGGGGGGAGGTGGAGTGGGGGGAGGGAGGGGTGGGGAAGAGAGGAGGGGGGGGTTGGGGGGATGGTGGGTGGTGTAGGGGGAGAGGGGTTGTAGAGTGTGTGTGTGTGTGTGTGTGTGTGTGTGTGTGTGTGTGTGTGTGTGTGTGTGTGTGTGTGTGTTTAGGAGAAAGTTGAAGGGAAGACGAAGCAGGGGGGGGAGATTGAAGGGCATGGGAATGGGTTCAAGGAGATAGAGAATGGCGAGAGCCGAACAGGCGAATGAGATGGGGTGAGTAAAATATGGCAGGGTGAGGTATGGAAACCTTTAGCCATATAGGACAGAGCATTGAAACGGATGCGAAAGCGTCAACCAAGCAATAACAACATCCTGCGTCAAGTCCTGTCCGTACCTGCCTCTGCTCCTCTGCTAGCCCAATCACAAACATCAACCGCCCGTTATAACCACCCAAGCTGCTACTACCGCTACTGCCGCCACTGCTGCCGCCGCCGCCGCTGCTGCTCCCCCCGCCGCCGCTGCTGCCGATGATCCCGAGGCTGCGGGTGCAGGTGGCGTTGGTGATGTGGTGGTAGCGAAGGAGCAGCGCGAGCACCTTGTGGAGCCCCAGGCCCGCTCCCAACACCGCCAATCCGCCCTCCTCATGCAGCTGTGCGACCACTTCCTCGTGGAATGACAGCATCCTAGCGGCTGAATGAGAAAAATGAGACTGGTACAATCTATTCTACAAGCCTCTCAGCACAGCCCGCCTTCCTCGTGCAGCTGCGCCGTTATGGTGAAGAATGCCAGCGAGTTGAAGTCTGACTCGGACATATAAGGTGAATATGAGTCTGAATCGGGGAGAAACGGCGGATTCTCGGGTGTGAACAGATCAGGTGGATTCTAAGCCTGACTTAGGCAAGGCAAATGCTGCGTAAGGTGAGCGCGATTCAACCTAGAACCGTCTGTTGATTGGTCTAAACTCTTTAGACAAGATCGCGCAGCGTGATTTAGACCACCCGAGGTTTTCGACGTGGTCGCGTGCAATCTAGACAACCGCCAATATGAATATTGTAGGCCGTCACCATCACGCTCAAAAAAGAAAGCAAGGTCTCTGGGTGACCCGCAAAAAACGCGTCAAAAGCTTCTTGTATCAGCACAGGTTGCTTTTAACGCATCCAGTGGACACAAAACATAGTATGTTCAGATTTACCGCACTGAACTGAAATAAAGTGCGTTTTCAAGTTTGATTAAGGTGATATCAAGCATGAAGGGTCACAAGTACCGTATTATTACACACATTTGATAATTAAGGTATAGAAAATAATCTACAATAGCATGCCAATGTGGCAGTCCAGTTACTCTGGTTCTAGCCACAGCTGCTAATAGACTAGGATAGGATGTCTCATCTACATTTGTCTCAGCACAGTGCTCATCCTGCGGAGAACAACCCGGCTGCTAGAGCCTGTTATTCTCCGCCTCGCACCGAACCTCCCAATGCCAACAGAAATACCCGATGCTGCTAGTGACCTCCTCTCCTCCTCATCCTCCTCATCCATGTACAGTTGATTCATGTAGCACATATTCCCTGTCCCATAGGTTGTGAAGCCGCTTCTTCTGTTGTCATCTTCGTCCTCATCATCATCCCCAAAGAGCTGGTTTGAGAAAGTAACCCCTTCGTCCTCAGCCTTCCCAATCCCTTTCATCTCCCCATTCCAGCCCTTCCCAGTGCTGCTGAGGCCTCTGCCAATCCCCCTCTTCCCACTTGCTACCTCTGTTAACAAGTCCGCCTGTGTACTGCTGAAGCTATTAGAAGAGGAGGAGCAGGTATCCCAGGTGAGGTCGATGAGACAGGCACTCTCATTCCGATTCAAGCTGCAGCGCCTGCTGCTCGCCTCTGCATCCACCACCGCACCTTTCTGTGCCTTTGAACCCATGAGCACGTCCTTGTATGGCCCTGCAACCAGGAACGAAGAAGTCACCTCCTCTGGTTCCAGAACAGCCAACCACCACGCCTTTTCAACTGAGTAGATCGAGCTCTCAGTCGAACTGAACACTGCTTCAGCCGAGGAGCGAGGTGTAGCAGCCGAGAAAGGAGGAACGAGCTCAGTTGACAAGGCAGCGGTTTCAGCTGAGCACGCAGCAGTTTCGATCAGGTCAGCAAGAACCTCTACAGAGTCAGCAGGGACCTCCACAGAGTCAGCAGGGACCTCCACAGAGTCAGCAGGGACCTCCACAGAGTCAGCAGGGACCTCCACAGAGTCAGCAGGGACCTCCACAGAGTCAGCAGGAACCTCCACAGAGACAGCAGGAACCTCCACAGGGACAGCAGGGACCTCATTCTTGACAGCAGGAGACTCATCCACGACAAGAACAGCCTTTGCTGCAACTTGATTGCTTGAGCTGGCCCACTTGAAGTCGACCTGCAAAGATTCAAGTGAGCGAAGTTAGTTTTTGCTCAAGATATTAAGATAATTTGTGACAAGAAGGAGGCGTCGGCGTAATAATACACACAAAAACGGAAAGGAGAAGGTGGAAATTTGTTCTTACCAGGCGTGGAAGAGAGACTAGGCTGCAGACGAAGCGAGTCAGGGAGTCATCCTGCTCCCAGTGACTCGAGAAGAGCGCGTCGACGTCCATGCAGGCACTCGCAGCACCGACGCAGGCCATTTCGCCGACTGATGAAGTAGCGAAGACGGACTGTCTTTAGTGCTGAGTTCGAAGAATTGTCAGGGAGCACTCGAGCAGATTCAGAGAGCAGGTAACACGGCCTTAAGAGCAGAAAACGGTAGGATTCTGAAGGCTGATAATGATAACCGGATCAGAGCAGACTGGTGAATGAGGAATACAAACCCCTGCTTGCTTTATACTCGTTTCTCTGGTGCTGCCAGTGGCTGCTAGAATTCTCAGTAAGAGTGAAAATGTGGAGTGAGACTGAAACTGGGACGGGGACGCGACGAGAGTCACGGAGGGGGTTGGAGGCTCGGAATCGCCGAGGGTGGGAGGCTCGGAATTGCCTGGGGTGTGAGTCAACGATTGCCACTGCTGAGCAAATCCGCGTCGCCGCCTGTGGGGTCCGCGGCGATCGCTGCTCATGGCGACGTCGCCGGATGGCCACCCCTCAACTGTATGAGCGAGGGAGGGGGGCTCTCTGAATCGTGGTGCTCCCAAGGTCCGCCGCAATCGGGAGTACCGAGTGCGACTCGAGAAATTTCGAAGGCGGGAAAGAGATAGGTATGGGGAGGGGGCGAGACTTCAGGTAACAGGTTCGATAAGCCGAACCTACAGCCGAATCTACGCGCTAACCCAGCGGATTTCGGGATACCGGTAGTGGACATGTGGGATCGAGGTTCTGCAGCGGGACTTGTGGCTGAAGGTCTGTCTAGTACGGCTAAAATCAATGGCTGCAAGTGTTAGACTGAAACTTACACGCTTTGTTTCCATTCGAGTGACAACACTGTATAGATTAACGTATTTCTATTGACAACAATCTACCTACTGGTACATAAAACCAAGCGTATGCTGATTTGGGTGAGTAAACAACGTTAGGTTTGCACACAAGCAACTTCTATAACGAACACCTGTAGTGCACATGGTTTAACATAGAAGAGTTCCAGCAAATGCCCTCTCAACACATTCAGCACAACACACAATGCACACATATTGAGAAAGATGGCTTTCTTATTCTTATCAATTGGCATCGTTCTCATTACAAATGGCTTATTACAACATTTGCATCAACGTTGAACACAAGCTAGTGCAATCTAATAACACTAGCTAAGATGTACCCTATCCAAGTGGCATTCAGCAAGGCGGTTTACTCTGGGGTGGGTGGTAAGAATGTTGAGTGAGCCGTTTGAAAATCGAGAAACGTGGGTGGAGGGAAATGAACTCCAACCCACGGTTTTTGTAGTTGGAGAAGGGCGTTTAGCGCGCTTCGACGATGCCAATTGTGCAGTACAAGCAGCTTCGCTTTTACAATACACAATTTTAAAAAACACGTGTGTTTAAAAAATATAATATTGTTCTTGACTCAACAGGTCAAATCTATCTCCCGATGATCAGCACAGCACACAGCAGAAACACAAGCAGTGGTTGCTGCATGCAAACAACGTTAGCAAAGAGAAGAGCCTAACCTCAAGCGCCATCAATACGGTAGCTGTTTTTTTCAGTAGTGTACGCCAGAGATTAGACCACTTTTTTGACACCTGTTACTGGTACTCACTCCCTTTCACTCCACCGTCATTGCCAGTGTCTGCTGACACCTAAGATGTTGATCCACCAGCGATGCGCCTGATTACAACAAATCAACCCTGCTACACCACACATGAGCCCTGCACAGCAGAGCCCACTGGACTCAGTCCTGATTCCCCCCTTGCATGTGCACCATGCACGCCTGTTCCTGACCCAGCCACCCTCCCATCCCCAAACCCTCTCCTGTCAAGCTCCCTTCAACCTGCACCGGCCCCGAATGTGTTTGACTTTGAAAATTTGAGCCTTGCACAACTGACCTGACCCCACTCAACTCAGCCCTAGTACCCCGCTTGCATGTGCTCGTCTGCTCCCGACCCAGCCAACCCCACCCTCCTTAATCACCTCTCCTGCAATGCCCCCTTGCTCCTACCCTAACTCTGGTCCTGTCTGTTTCTGACACCCAACATTTGAGCCCTGCACTGCAAACCCCACTCGAGTCAGCCCTAATACCCCCCTTGCATGTGCTCGCCTGCTCCCGATCCAGCCACCCCACCCTCCCCAATCGCCTCTCCTGCCATGCCCCCTTGCACCTGCCCCTGCCCCTGCCCATACTCCCCCCCCTGACTCTGCTGCATCTCCCCCAGCGCCCCCCCTTGCCCTGGCCCCTCCATCCCTCCAGGGTTCTGTCCCATGGCATCAGCACCCATACTACTGCCAGGGGCAGGAGGAGGAGAGGTGACAGTAGAAGTGGGTGGTACCGGGGTAAATGCAGGGTTTCCCTGCATGGCGATCGGGTAATTCTGAGAGGAAACCCCCTGCTGCGGCTGCTGCATAGCTGCTGCCGCTGGTCCTGCTGTCCCTCCCATTGGCATTGCCTGCAGCTGCTGCTGCTGATACTGCTGCTGGTGCTGCTGCTGCGGTTGTTGGTACTGCTGCTGCTGGTACTGTTGGTGCTGGTAGTGCTGGTGCTGCTGCTGCGGCTGTTGCTGCTGTGGCAGCTGTTGCTGCTGCTGCTGCTGGGGCTGCATCATAGGTTGCATACCAATGTAAGCTGCACCCTGCTGTTGCTGATACTGCTGCTGCTGCTGCTGATATGGTTGGTGCTGCTGGTACTGCTGCTGCTGGTGCTGCTGCTGCTGGTACTGCTGCTGCTGGTCCTGCTGCTGTTGATACTGTTGCGGCTGCTGCTGCGGAGGAGGCTGCTGATAGTACTGCTGCTGCATCTGCGGCTGCCCCATACCCGGCACTTGCCCCTGCATTGGCACCACCGCTGCACCTGCAACCCCTGCTTGGTAAGCAAGACTACTCCCACCCATCACCCCCCCTCCTGCCATTTGCATCTGAGGCGCACTCCCCACCATCCCCACCATCCCTTGCTGTGGCACCTGCTGTTGTGCCTGCTGCTGTTGTGGGGGCAGCTGCTGCTGCATGGCTGGCGATCCCTGTGCCTGGAACTGAGGTGTCATGTGCCCTGGGGCAATCATAGCCCCGCCCATTGCTTGAACTGCAACCGGCGTTGCTGACTGGTATTGCTGCGGCTGCTGCTGCTGCTGAGGCGGAGAGTAGATCACACGGTCTGCTCTCCCAGGCGGACCCACCGGCCCTCCTCCTGCTGCGGCTGTCACGCCACTGCCCACACCAATGGCACCTGCAGCGCCACCCATGGGCGCCACACTACTGGTAGGTGGTGCCCCGTCCGTGGGAGCTCCTGTGGTTGTGCTTGGTCCCCCATTTGTAGGGGCTGCCGTCCCTGCCTCTGCGCGGGAGAGTGCTGACTGCTGGTTATGTGCCTGCCCGCTCCCTGCTCCTTGCTGCCCCTGCTGCTGCCCCTGCTGCTGCCCCTGCTGCTGCCCCTGCTGTTGCTGAGCCTGTACGCCAGCCTGAGTGGGTGTCAGTGCGCCCTCTCCTGGTGATGCCTGCTGCTGCTGCTGCTGCTGCTGCTGCTGCTGTGGCGGCTGTTGCGAATGCTGCACTTGCTGAGCTTGCTGGGGTTGCGTAACGGGCTGTGGCAGTGTGGGCGGTGGAGGGGTGGCTGTGGAGGCAAGGGGAGGCGCAGCAGCAGCAGCAGGAGGTGCCGGGGAGGGCGGGAAGACATCGGAGAGGGGAGGCGTGCAGAGCCCCATGGCGCGCAGCACGTAACTGTCATCGTGAAGCTCAAAAGGCGTGCTGGTAGAGAAGCGGGAGCGATTGGGACGGGAGAGGGAGAGATTGAGGGTTTTGGATTAGTAGGCCTTTGATGAGGAGAGGTGCGCAGAGCCCCATGGCTGGCAGCACGTAGCTGTCGTCGTGCAGCTCGAAGGGTGTGCTGGGAGATAAGAGAAAGGGCAGAGGAGAGGGCGTGATAGGAACAAGAAAGAGAGAGTACAAGAGTTGGCCCTAAAATGAGGGGAGGCGTGCAGAGGCCCACGGCACGCAGTAGATAGCTGTCATCGTGACCCACGGCACGCAGTACATAGCTGTCATCGTGCAGCTCGAAAGGTGTGCTGGTAGAGAACAGGCAGAGAAGAGGGAGAAACTGGGGCAGGAAGACATCAGAGGGGAGGCTTGCAGAGGCCCATGGCACTCAGCACGTAGCTGTCGTTGTGCAGCTCAAAGGGCGTGCTGGTAGAGGAGAGGACAGGGAAGGGAGGAGAGAAAAGAGTCTTAGGGCTTCAGGTAGCAGAGCCCCATGGCTCGCAGCACGTAGCTGTCGTCGTGCAGCTCAAAGGGCGTTCTGTCAGTGAAGGGAGGAGAGATTGGAATGAAAAGGGAGATGTTGGGATGGGATGGGAGATTGGGGTTTTGGGCTACGGCACTTCCGTTGATGAGGAGGAGGAGTGCAGAGGCCCATCGCACGCAGCACGTAGCTGTTACCTTGAAGCTCAAAGGGAGTGCTGGGAGGAAAGAGGAAGAAACTCAGATGGGAGAGGGAGATGGGGGGTTTCAAGCTTACATTGCGGTTTGAGTGAACGTGGTTAAGATTGTGAGGTGCTTTAACGTGAGAAAGGCTGTGAGCAAGCTTACGTGCTGAAGTCAAAGTGCACGAGCTGCATGTCCTCCGATATCTCCACCTCCACTGTTGCCTGTGGGCGGGTCTGTATGGGGTGACAGAGTGCCGAGAGATAGGAGGGGGGAGGGAGCGAGACGGGAAAAGAGGAGAGAAGGAGACGTGCTGAAGTTGAAGTGCACGAGCTGCATGTCCTCTGATATCTCCACCTCCACCGTTGCTTGTGGACGGGTCTTCACAGCCCAGGGGAGCAGCACATGGAGAGGAGAGAGGGAGAGAAGGAGAAGAGGAGGTTGGACACGAGCTGCATGTCCTCTGATATCTCCACCTCCACTGTTGCCTGTGGCCGGGTCTGCTCCGCGCCATAGACAGAAAAAAAAAGGGGGAAGAGGGAGGAAGAGACGGGGAGGAGGGAGGGAGAGAGAGGGAGAGAGGATAAGGGGCGAGTTCTTCTTCAACAAGTTTGTGGGAGGTGCAGCAATCTTTGCATACTGTTGCACAAATGGACTGCTGTACTTTCCAAAATCAAAGATTTGCTGAAGCTCCTTCACTCTCCTTGGTCGTCCGCATACGTACAACCGTACGTAAGGGTTTCCTGAGACGTCTCAAAGTAATGGACGCTTCCGCTTCCGGTAACTGGAACAACTACTTGTCATGCTGAAGGCAGCTTCTGCCTCGCCTACTATGAGTAAACAGTACCTGCACGAGAATGAACGGACTTTTGAGTCAACCCAAAAGGCAGCTTCCACCTCGCCTACAATGAGTCAACAGTACCTGCACGAGAATGAATGGCAGCGCCACCCCGCCGCCCGCAGGTGGGCCCCCCTGTTGGCTGCTGGCCTCGTTGCGGCGCATGAGACGCTCGATGCCGGCCATCTGCGAGGTGGGCGGCACACACATGCGAGGTGGGCGGCACACACATGCGTGATTGATGGGTGCATGCATGCACAGACAGACGGATGCTAATCGTCAAGTGTACCTGCAGGAGAAAACACGCAAGGTGCAGAAGAGAAGAGGGGAGTAGCAGCAGTAAAAACGGAGTAGCGAGCAAGCACAAGGAGAGGAGCAGCAAGAAGGTGGCATACCTGCTCCTTGAAATAGAGCAAAGAGGAGGGGCGGGGGTGGCATACGGTATACCTGTTCCTTCAACTCTTCGAGATGAGCCGCTTTCTTCTCCACCCGACTGCGCACGCGTGATGACTCCGCCTGGGCACAAGCACGCGCAAAGGTTCGTAGGCATGACAAATGCTCACCCATGCTTGACGATGCTCAACAAATTAGTGAATGTTGCTTGACAAATGCTCGTCAGATTTTCGACCGATGCCTGACAGATGTTCGACAGCAGTAGAAGCAATGGCAGGAGCAATAATAGGAGAAATAGTTGAAGTGGCAACACACACAACAGCACACGCACCAAGTGGAGGTGGTGCGAGGCTGAGGAGGAGGGGAGGCCCTTCCAATTGATCTTTGAGACGTCTTAGCAACACAGACCACACCACACCACACCACACCACACCAGAGCACACACCACACGCACCAGGAGGAGCTGGTGGGAGGTGGAGGAGGGCGGGAGGCCCTTCCATTTGATCTTGAGTCGACGACCACACCACACCACAGCACACTCACCAGGAGGAGCTGGTGCGAGGCGGAGGAGGGAGGGAGGCCCTTCCATTTGATCTCCTTCTTCTCCTTGGAGATGATGTCCATCGCCATCAGCACGTTCAGCGCATCGTACACCCGCCGCCGTATGTTCTTCTCGTCGTACTGCTGCCGGGGGGGGGGAGGGGGAGGTGGGGTGGAGGGACGAGAGAAGTGCCATCAGCATGTTCAGCGCATCATATACCCGCCGCCGAATGTTCTTCTCATCATGCTGCTGCCGGGGGGGAAGGGAGGTTGTGGGACAGAGGGGGGGGGTCAAAGGACGAATGCGTCGTACATCCGCCGCCGAATGGGTTGGAAGGGAAACATGGGTTGGAAGGGAAACATGGGTTGGAAGGGAAACATGGGTTGGAAGGGAAACATGGGTTGGAAGGGAAACATGGGTTGGAAGGGAAACATGGGTTGGAAGGGAAACATGGGTTGGAAGGGAAACATGGGTTGGAAGGGGGAAGAGGAGGAAATGGTGGGACACAAGGAGCGATGTGTTGTGTCGTACACCCACCGTCAAATGTAAGAGAGGGTAAGAGTAGCTTAAGCGGGTAAGAGAGAAGGTTGAGAGGGAAAGCGAGTGGGTTGATATGGAAAGAGAGTTGGTTGGGAGGGTAGGAGAGTTGGTTGGGAGGGTAAAAGAGTAGGTTGCGAGGGTAAAAGAGTAGGTTGCGAGGGTAAAAGAGTAGGTTGCGAGGGTGGGAGAGTAGGTTGCGAGGGTGGGAGAGTAGGTTGAGAGGGTGGGAGAGTAGGTTGCGAGGGTGGTTGAGTGGGTAGCTTGGGATGTTAGGAGAGTAGGTTGGGAGGGAAGGAGAGTACCTGGTCTTGAGGCAGGCTGGCAGTGCCTTGCAGCCCTGTGAACTCCGCCACGAGCTCGTCTGCTACCTGTAGAGCGTGCATTGGTGGGGATGAGGGTACAAGGGAATGGGTTTGAAAGGTAGGGTTAATGTGGCAGGCTGGCAGTGCCTTGCAGCCCTGTGAACTCCGCCACTAGCTCGTCTGCCACCTGCAGGGTTCGGTAGGGTGTGGCGGGGTGTGGCATGGTTTGACAAGGTTTGGCAGGCAGGCTGAGAGGTTTCATGGTTTTGCATGCGCTGGGAATAGTTGTGGTTCTGAAGGTTTTGGGGTTTGGCCTTGTGAATTCGACCACCTGCAGACTGCAGGCATAAATTGGCTGCTATGAGTTGTGTTTTAGGGTTCACAGCTATAATTGCATACAAATATGTGTGCATGTTGAGGGTTCGATGATTTCAGGACGGGGGCACTCCAGCATGAGGGTTGGCACATCGCCACGGGTCCCAGAGAGCAGAGCAGAAAAAGCAGAGTATAGGCGGCCTGCAGTGCTCTCACGGACCACATGGCACGTACCTCATTGTACGTGGTGCGCCCCTTGGACTCCACCTTCTCACACACTGCCATGCAAGAAAACGATGGGAAGAAGGAGCGAGTGATGCTTGTGCCACTTGAGATCTTTTCTCGAGTGGGGCTCTGCATTCTCAGACAGGTCGTGCAAAGGGGAAGGGCGGTAGGGAGAAGATGCACGGGCACGCAGGGGAAGAGAAGGGCGCACATGCACGCATCCTCTGCTTTCCTTTCCACGAGTGGTAGGTTCGGCAACAGAGTGAAACAGCCTTTACTGTTCTCCTTCCTCCTCTCACCTTTCATGCTGAAATGCCTGAGCCCCTTGCCTCTGTCTGCCGCCCGGGGCAGTCGCCGCTTGCGCTTGCTGCTCCCACAAAGGCACAGCAGCAGGCAGAGCAGCAGGCAAAGCAGTAGGCAGAGCAGCAGGCACAGCAGCAGAGGTGAGAGAGAAACAGGACGAAAAAAGCAGGAGGAAGCAAAACGTGGGCAGGTGGAAGCAAAGCAGCAGAACAAGCAAGTAAAGAAGCATGACAACTCTTGGAAGGAAGTGTTTAACCAGCCCAGACAGCACGGCAGTAAGTGAAAGGGACAGGCAGAGAGTGCAGAGAGAGTGCTGGGCATGGAATCACAGCCACTCACGCGACATTGGGATCCAAGGAGTCAGCCGCAGCCCCATCCGCCCCGTACTCGTCCCCTGAAAGCATGCCCATCCCCACCCCCACCCCCACCTTCACCCCCACCCGCACCCCCATACTCAGCCCCAGTCAACCAAGCACTTAAGCAGGCAGCGACAGCAGAGGGACAGCAGGGCATCAAGGCACTCACGCGTCATTGGGGTCCAAGGAATCAGCCGCAGCGCCATCCGCCCCATACTCGTCCCCTGGCAGCATGCTCATGCCCATAGATACCCCCGCCCCCATCCCCATCCCCAGTCCCGACGCCCCACTTGCTGCTCCCCCCGCTCCTCCCCCTCCGCCCACGCCCCCTCCGCCCCCCCCACCCCCCCCTGCAGCAGCGGGGGCAGCGCCCCCCAGGCGACCACGGTCAGTGGAGTCCCCACTCTCCACTGACCGCGCCCCTGCTCCCCCTCCCCCTCCCCCTGCGCCCCCTGCTCCTGCGCCTGCCACTCCCCCTCCTAGAGAGGTCTCCGCCCACCCCCCTGCTGCTCCCTGCTGCCCCTGCTGCTGTTGCGACTGCAGAGCAGATGGTATTGGCTTGGGGGGAGGGGAGACTGCAGGAGGTGGGGGGATGGGGGGGAGAAGGGTGGGCGGGGTTGGGGGAACAGGGGGGAAGAGAAGGGGAAGTGACTCTCTGTCAGTGCAGCTCTCTGCCGTGCCCCCTGCTGCTGCCGTGCGTGCAGAGCAAATGGGATTGGCTTAAGGGGAGGTGAGACTAAACGGGGGTGGGGGGCAGAGAGGAAGGGGAGGGTGAGGGTAGGGTTGGTAGGGACGAAGCTTTCAGAGAGGGTAATTCGCTCCAAATGGGATCAGAGTATTCGCTCCGGCCGTCCGTCCCTCGCTCCCTCCCCCCCCTCTCCCTCGCTCCCACTTTCCCTCCCTCCCTCCCTCGCTCCCTCCCTCCCTCCCTCCCTCCCTTGCTTCCACTTTCCCTCCCTCCCTCCCTCCCTCCCTCCCTCCCTCCCTCCCTCCCTCCCTCCCTCCCTCCCTCCCTCCCTCCCTCCCTCCCTCCCTCCCCCGCTTCCCTCCCCCGTTTCTCTCCCCTCCTCCCCTCCGCTCTCCCCCATTCCTCCCTCACCAGGCGACGGTTTCGGCCCGTCCGCGTGGGCAGCAGCGGCAGCGGCGGGGGATGATCCCGAGGTCATGGCTGAATTCGGCACGCCCGTCTCCGCACCTCCTCCCTCCTACCTTCCCTCTCCCCCCTTCCCTCCCTCACCAGGCGACGGTTGCGGCCCATCTGCGTGGGCGGCAGCGGCAGCGGTGGGGATGATCCCGAGGTCATGGGCCGGATTCGGCACGCCCGTCTCCGCCGCTCCTCCCTTCCCCCTTCCCTCTCTCACCAGGCGACGATTTCAGCCCATACGCATAGGCGGTGGCGATCCCGAGGTCATGCGCCAGATCCAGCAGGCTCCGCACCTCTTCTCCCCCCTTTCCCCCCTTCAATTCTCACCAGGCGACGGTTTCGGCCCATCCGCGTGGGCGGAGGCGGGGATGATCCCGAGGTCGTGCGCCAGATCCAGCACGCCCGTCTCCGCGAAGTCCGACAGCAGCGCGTGGGGAACGCTCAGCGCGCCCTGCGGGGAGCCCTGCGCCTGCGCCTGCGCGTGCGGTTGCGGAGCGTCTCTGTGCGCGGCGGCGGATTCGGGCGCAGCGGACCCCGTGGCGTTCGCCCCGCGCGCGTCTGTAGCAGGCTCGCCCCCGCCACTGCCGGGCCTCGTCGCGCGAGCGTCTGTAGCGGCGGACGGCACAGGGCTCGTCGCACGATCATCCGCGACGGGAGGAGCCGACGCGGGGTCATTCCGCGCGCCGCCAGTCGGTTCCAGATCCGATGTTGCGGGTTTCGCCGCGCCGCCTCCTTCGGAAACGGCGGGTGGAATTTGTTGCTGCTGTTGATGCTGTGGCTTCAAATCCATTTCAATTAAATGAGAAAAAAAGACCCGTCAAGTCAAGTTGCGAACCGATGAGCGCTGCTGCATTTCAAGTAGTACGCGAGTGTCAGGGAAGTATGCTGATTAGCTATGGCTGCGAATGGCGTGCGAGCCTAAGGGCGTTTCATATGCAATAAAGTGAACTTGTATGACACGCCCTAAACAAGCCGCTCCTCGAGGCATTTTGAGGACCACCGAATCTGACAGGCTAATCCACCAATCATGTGCGGGTGTGATGGCAGAGGTGCTCCAAACGAACTTTCAGACAGTCAAGATGGGTAACGTTGCGGGCAGGTGTAAAAGTCTGCAATCTCAATCTAGTGGCTCATTTCAAAGCCCGAACCATACTCCTCGTTGGTTGCATTATGCAGTGCCCGGAAATACCGAAACGCGGAATCGCACGAAACACAGTGCGAGGCGAGCATGCGAACGAAAATGTGAGGGTATGCCCCGTTGCCCTCAAAGCCAGTGTTGCAATGGGCTGGGACGCGGTTCTGTGCGTTGGAAATGGGGGCTTTTTTAAACCTTTGAACCTCGAGATTCGGGAGTGGTACCCCTGTGCGCCCAAGCATATCCCTATGCCGCTCCAAGGTTTCCAGGCTGTACGTTTCTTGTACGTTTCCAGGTCGTTCGTTCTTCACCATCCCTTCGCATCCGGGGCAAAATAGCACAGCTACAAAATCGCTTTGGACCGTGTGAAACCGACCTAATGAACCCCAAATGTGCGACCAGACACGAAAGGCTTTTTTGAACATTTGAGCTGCAAAAGCTCGGCGCTCTGAAGCAGGAGAAACAAGACAGCAGTGAGACAGGGAGCAAGAGAAGAGCCACAAGACAGAAAAGAACTGCCATGAGAATAGTTTCTGGCGTTCCTCCAGCCAAAGCAAAGTAGGCAGCAAATGCTGAGGAAAAACCACACAGTACCGTCGCTAATGGTTCTGTAGTCCCGACGGTGGTCGTCTTCCCTCGTTGTTAGGTTGTTGCCTAGGTCTCCTGCCTGGCACCACTTATTCGAACTTTGGTGCTTTCGTCGCACAGGGACCGCTAACGTCGCACACCTCGCACAAACGTCGCGCGCATACGGCCTCCGCTATGGCGCGCGGGATTTTCATCTGAAAGCAACCAGCGGCATTACTGCCGCTCGCCGCTTTCCCTCATTTTTCACGGGACGCGCACCAGACTATGCTCAAACGGATCACATTGTAACGGCTGTGTTTATCCCACAAACCACGTTCATTTCCTGCTTGAATTAATATCGACCCGGCGCCTATATGGGGAAAAGGCGAGCGAAGCGGTTGTTGGAGTCCTACGAGGCGAATGGCAAGCGACTCGAACGTACGTGCTGCGGTCGCCCTCTCTCGTACCATTTCACCTTCTCTCCATGACTTGTACTAGTAGGCTACCCGTGCTCTTTCCCCACGCTGTCGCTTTTTCTCTGAAGTCCTCCCCTGCCGGCCGTTCTTATTATCGTAACTCTTTCCTGACGCCCGAATGATGCTGTATTCCCACGTTTCCGCGCTCGAATCCTCTACAAAAATGTCCGAAGGACATATTTCAGTGAAAGTACTTCCTCCAGAGTAATAGATTCTGATAATATTGTCTTCTGAACGAATCTGCCTTTGAGATATTATCTTATGAAGGAGAACCCTCCACATACACATCCGTCGCTCCATCCAACATTACTGGGTACCACCCCTCTCATATCCCATTTCAGCTGGAGTTTGCGTCATGCTGCGGCCGCCCAGTCCCAAGACTCCCTCCTACATTGCGCGGATTGAGAGAATCGAATCTGATGCTGCGGGTCGAGTCAAGATGTGGTGCCGCTGGTACTACCGCCCAGAGGAGTCTATAGGGGGGCGTCGGTGCTTCCATGGAGTTAAGGAGCTTTTTCTGTCTGATCACTATGATGGCTGCTTCCCTGAGGCTGTGGAAAGCGTGTGCTTTGTGCACAACCTGAGGAATTACGCTAACTTAGACGCGGTTGAGGAGGAGGACTTCTTCTGCCGGTTCGAGTACAACGCGTCAACAGGAATGTTCGCGCCAGAGAGTGTTGCAGTGTGAGTGGCGAGGGTTTCACCCTGCGAGAACAAACAACGTTGTTGGAGGATTGTGGCATGGCATGCACATTAGCCAGTGGAGGCGCATGTGCTGGCAGGGATTTTTTCTGACTAGAAGTCTGCGTGATGAAGTCTATGTTTCAGAATGAGTGGAATGAGCAGCTGGGTGTGTTGTGCTTGAACATTCCTTCAGAATGCTTGTGCCACTGCACTGCAGGTACTGCAAGTGCGAGATGCCATACAACCCCGACAGTCTCATGGTTCAGTGTGAAGACTGCAAAGACTGGTGAGGATGGATATGAAGCACTATCTTTTCTCCTGCTTCACTTGTGCCTATGACTGCCTCGTGATTCCTGCACCTTTGCCATGTCTGCTGTCTCTCGTGTGGCTTTCTTTGAAGCTTGTAGCTGTCCCTTTTGGTTTGCATCCATACAGGAGGAGTTCAATTTGCGCTTCTATTGCATGCCTTTTCATGTTCAGGTTCCATCCAGAATGTGTCAACTTGCCCAGCCGTGGGCTGGAGTCCATCAAAGAAAATATTTGCCCTGACTGTAAATAATTATTTAGAAGAGCAGAATGCACGTACATGCATTATGTCTGCATTTGATTGTATGTAATTGTTATGCTTCATTGTGCATTTCCTAGACGAACGCTGAGTCGCTTGGTCGTCGGCCCAAGAAGCGTCGGAGTGTCCTGTGAGGACCACTGAACCCCGTCCTCCAAACACGAGCCCCATGCCCGATGTACTGCACAAGTAACGCAGTACCCTTTTCGCAGCATCAAAGTGCACATTTCGGTGTCTACCATGTGCCACGTAGCGAGCCAGGAGGCTGAGAGGGTACGCGAGGTCAAGTCGTGTGCACGTCATCAGGTACATGAGGCAACCCAGCTCTGGGTACGGACCACTCGGCTCTACGGACTCGTCCGAAGGTGGAGCTGAGAGCGAGTGACCGGTAGACAGAGGAGTGGGCTGTGGCGAGGAGTACTGGAAGCCAAAGCGCTGGAGAGGACCTAGTGCACCATGTGTGACTGAGTCAGGGTGATGGTGCGCCGTGCTCTGTCCCGGGTGATCTGCAAGCCAAGATAGCTCCGCAGCTCACCCAGGTCAGTGCAGGTGTGTCTCTCCTGCAGCTCCGCCTTCACTAGAGCCAGCGCCGCTGTGTCGGCAGTAGGAAAGACCAAGTCGTCGACGTAGAGTAGTGTCGGTGCGCAGAAACAACGACGGGTCAGCAGTCGAAGGAGCAAACCCAAGAGCCGCAAGTGTGGTCCTCAGTGTGTCGTTCCACTCGCGAGGTGCCTCACGGAGGCCGTACACTGGTCGTCGTAGGCTCCACTGGGTACCCTCAGGAAACGACCCAGTGAAGCCAGGAGGACGACGCAGCCAGATGGCCTCGTGAAGGCTGCCCTTCAAGAAAGCTGTCGAGAAGTCGAGGGAGTGCAGCTCGTAGTCACGCTGAGCTGCAATATGTAACAACACCCGAAGAGTGGTCATCTTCGGGGTGGGGGAGAAGGTCTGAAAGAAGTCGACTCCCGCACGCTGACTGAAGCCTCGAGCAACGTAACGTGCCTTGAAAACAGGCGGAGAACCCGGCGACCGCTTCACCCTGAAAATCCACATGCCACTGACGATGTTCGCCCCAGGTGGAGGAACCTCGTCGACGTAGGTGCCTGTGGACTTCCAGGAAGCCATCTCTGCGTCCATGGCTGTCTGCCACTGAGAGGAGTACTCACCCGAGATCGCCTCTATGTAAGAGCGCGGGGTGGGGATGTCAAGTGCATCCGGATCTCCCTCAGGGGCAAGCAACATGGTCGCGAGATGAGGTGAAGCGGCCGCCAGACACTCCAGCTCCTCCTGTCTGTCCTCAAGAACGTCACAGCCAAGGGCAACCTCACCCCCGACGGACGGAGGACAGGCAGGGTCAGGGTCAGTAACAAGACTCGCAAGGTAGTCTAGGCGGCGCGCAGCAGCGAAGTCAACTAGCTCAGCGACTAGGGCAGACGCTGCAGGAGACGAGAACGTAGGGTCCGTCACAACTGTAGCAAGCAAGCGAGTGACAGTCGGACTGGAAGCACGAGCAAGGTCATACGGAGGGTCAGCAACGTCAGGAAGAGAAGACGCAGGAGGTGACGGTAGGACAACACGCTGTGGAACAGAGGAAGGACGGAGTGTCAAATCGTGAGTGCCTGGGACAGCCGGAGCAGGAGAACGACGAACACGAGGAACAAGAGCACGGACAGAAGCTCTAGTCTCAGGCTCTCGACGCTCAGGAGTGGAAGCACGAGTCTCAGGCTCTCGACGCTCAGTCAGGGACTCTGTCACAGCAGTGTAGGGAGCGGGAGCAGGCAATGGGGAGTGATGCAGTAGCTGCGGGAACAGTAACGGAGGAGTAGTACCAGCGACAAGGAACTCTGTCGGAGCTGGTGGAAGACCGAGAAGGTGGCGAAGCGCACCAGCAGGTCCACCACCTCCAGCACTAGCAGCTCCAGCACCTCCAGCACCAGCAGCACCTCCAGCACTAGGAGCTCCAGCACCTCCAGCACCAGCAGGTCCAGTAGCTCCAGCCCCTCCAGCACCAGCAGCACCTCCAGCACCTCCAGCACCTCCAGCAGTACCTCCAGCACCAGCAGTACCATCAGCTCCGGCAGCTCCAGTACCTCCAGTACGAGCACCTCCAGGACTAGTAGCTCCGGCACCTCCAGTACCCGCAGTACCTCCAGTACCTCCAGGACGAGCAGCTCCAGTACCTCCTGCACCAGCAGGACCCCCAGCACCTCCAGCAGTACCTCCAGCACCTCCAGCACCTGCAGTACCCGCAGTACCTCCAATACCTCCAGGGCGAGCAGCTCCAGTACCTCCAGCACCAGCAGCACCCCTAGCACCTCCAGCAGTACCTCCAGCACCAGCAGTACCGTCGGGACTAGCAGCTC